TAAATCAAGCTGCTGTGAAGAACAGAACAGCCATGAGGTTTTAGACTACATATGTTATATATATATGCATATGGATATATACATATAAAAGTTACACTGTCGCAATGAGGCACTTGAGCACAAAGCGAGGTCGAAGGGCGTGGCCGCTGAGCTCACCAAGTTTGTTCGCCTGTTCGTGGCAGTTGATTTGTTTGAGGACCTCCACGGACACGCGCACGGCCCCGGTCTCCGTGAACGTGGAGACGAGGACGTCCACGACCTCCAAGCGGCTCTTCCCCTCCACCCTGTTGCGCCTCACCCGCGGCTCTTCCCCGCAGTCCAGAAGCTGGTCGACAAAGTCGTCGAAGTTTTTCCCCGGCAGGTCATCCAGCATGTCCGCTAAAGTCACTCTTATACTCCTGGCAGTCATTTTTAAACCTATCAAGTGCAAAGAGATGTTTTTTTTTAAATGTTGATATTTCCCCACCTCTCCCTCGAGGTTAAGATGCACAACGGGAAGGACGCGTTCAATGCCGCTGTTGGATAATCGAAAGTATGAGTACTCAGGTGTCAATTTGCTCTCGGTGCTTGCATGACACACGTCACTGAGAATAGGATGCAAAGTTTAAAGTGCAAATATATATAATATAAGTATTGAGGTCCTGTTCGCACTCTTATCATGCATGATAAGTATTACTCCGAATTATATACATTATATATGTAATATATATATATATATATATATATATATATATATATAATACTATAATACTACACATTATGGTCTAACTCCTACGAGCAGCACATGAAGGCAGCCATAGATCCGGAAGAGGTTGCTTATGTTTACTCATTATGAATGCATTTCTTATAAATTATTAAGTCTCTTGGTGTGTTTGTGTGGTTAATGACACTCGTCACACAATCCTATGTTTATATACAGTTTATTTACAAATCATCACACAGGCTTAAACTGTTCACAGTGCGTGCCTGGAAATAAGCTCAGGTTTTCGTTATTCTGACTGGCAACAGAGGTAGACATGAGTTTTGTATCACAAAATTATTAATATAAATGCACAAAACTCTACAAGACGTTCATATAAACACTATCTACAAAACGGTTCCTTCTTAGACACAAAATAGGGCCTCCGACGTTGCAAAAGAAGAATCTCTGTATGATGCTTTAAATGCCGCTGTGCCGCAGTTACGTAGCCCTGAGGTGCCATGTGTTTCTGTGTCAGGTATTGGGAGAACTTCCTTTATATTTATCCATTATTTAAAAAACGACTGAATATGTTTTTTTATTTGATTCCCTGAAATGCAGCATGTATAAAGCGGCTGTCTGTGACATCATCACCCGTGCCGACACTGCAGCTCGGAGGCAGCGTTCCCTTTGCAGGCCGGTGGGCCTGGTGCTCCTGGTGTGCCTTGGACTCCTGGTAGCTCTGGTACTCAGGGTATCCCTATAAGTCCTGCTAACCCTTTTTCCTACAGAGACGGCCATGTTTCGCTGCTGTGCTCCGATACCGCCGCCCCCCCGGTGCACGGCTGCCACGCCTCCGTGTTAGTGGGCAGAACGTTCAGGCTGGTCAACACCTCCTGCGCCGTCTTTCCCAGCATGCCCTGTATGTCGCAGACGAAGCGGTAGACGTAGCGTTTTCCCGCCGTCTTGTGGATGATGTTCTTGTGGTAGTAGTAGCGTAGGCCGCGGCTCAGCTTCTCGTAGTTCATCTTGGGTTTGTTCTTGCACTGGCCCCAGCGCTTCGCCACCTGTGGGATCAACGGACAAACGAAAAACACTCCGTCAATGTGTGTTTGTACCTCTGAACAAAGTCCTACATTCAAAGTCGTACTTCACAAAAGTTGATGTGCTGCAACTATCAAATAAAATGCAAATGGGATGTTAATGCTTAACAATGGGTTTTATTTTAAAATCTAAAAAAAGTTACAATATTTCCCTTTTGAGATGTAGTGTTGTACGAGTTTAAATATAACGCCACTTAAGATACTACACTACACTGCCGCCACTTTGAGCGACCTCCTCACCTCCGAGGGGTCGGACATCTTAAACTCCCACCCGTCTCCGGTCCAGGAGATGAAGGTGCGACAGGCTGAGTCCAGAAGAAGCTCCAGTAAAAACTGCCACAGCTGGATTGGACCGGAACCTGAATGGATGAAATAAAACCGGCAGCCATTCATTAGGTTGCTGAACAAATCTTGTCATTATCAATTAACGAAGAAGCTCTGTGAGCCTTTACTTACACTCACAGTTCTAGTTTTACTTACACTCACAGTTCTAGTTTCAAAAAAAGTACAGTGACAAACACACAAGTATGAAGCCTACTTCAAGACTTAAAAGAACCTGTGATTGTTTTACTAAATATATTTATTATATTTGTTAATGTTTGCACATTTTTTTAGAGCAGCTCAGAAGAGACGAGGGATCAAACCTGGATAAGTGGACATTCCCGGCATGTGGCCCTCCCTGTCCGGCCTCTGGGGGTGTGCGCTCTTGCGTTTGACCACACGGGGGCAGTACTGCTCCGAGGCCTGAGGGCCGGGGGCCGCAGGCGGGTGGGCAGTAGGGGCGGTGAAGCCGGGACAGGAGTACTCGGGCCAGAGGGACGAGGGCGGCCTCTGCCCGTCGGAGTCGTACGGCTCGGCCGAGTGACGCGAGTAGCTCGGCTCCGTCTCACCTGGAACAAAGAGGCGGAGTCACACACCTGAGCGGCAAAAAGCAGACGGGTCACGCCGTAGTTTTTCCACAGAGGGAGACGACTTACTGTGTAACGTACTGGGGCCTTCTGCGCTCACGAAGGGGCTGTGGCTGCCCTCCACCGCCGGGCTGAACTGCCCGTTGAGGGGCACCAGGCTCTGGTACGTCTGCGGGGACTCCTGGTACCCAGTTTGTGACTGGTCCACCGTCAGCCCCTCTGCACACCGAAACGCAAAGTCAGCCACGAAGAAACTTTACCCTTTAGGGAAATACAAGCACTTTGATGACCGCGGGCGCTCACCGTGCGAGCAGGAGGCCCACCAGTTGAACTCCTGGTAGGAGTCCAGGTTGAAGAGGCAGGTGTCGTCGCTGCTCGCTGCGAGAAAGGGCAAAGAAAGCAACTGTGAGATGAGTCAAGAGCGCCTGGCTTGTTATAGCGACCATGAAAGGTGTGTGTGTGTGTGTGTGTGTGTGTGTGTGTGTGTGTGTGTGTGTGTTTGTAACAAATATTCTGAGGTTTCACCTTTAATGTCGTACGGGTGAGAAGCTTTGGGTGGCTCCGGGTAGCTGCTCTCTGCCACATATTGCTGCTGCTGCGCGGGCGCTTTACTGTCTAACAGAAAAGACAGGTCTTCACCAGGGTAGTCTGGAGGTTCAACACAACGCAGACAGGGAGAGTCAGTGAGGTGGGGGGCGGGGGGTTAAGGCCGGAGAGAGAGGGTGCTTACTCGGAAAAGGACCACACCAATTGTTTATACTCAATGTTGATTAAAGTTCTTTGATTTCATCATCATTGAAATGAAAATTCCCTCAATGGAGAATTATTGAGGTAACTTAACTTCTACAGCATCTCAAGCATGTTTTCAAGACTCCACAAGTAAGAGTTTCTTACAATGAAGAACACAAACAAGACACTGCATTAAAAAGTAGGATATTGATCCAAAAGAGTACACGTATCCTGTGTAGTACATGTGCTTTAAAAACAGAAGGTTGAATCATTGGTGGTGTTCTTTAAGCTGGAGGTTTATTAAAGATTTACTAAATGTATTAAACTACACTCAGCAAGAAAGGCAAGATGGGGTAATGGTTTTATCTTAAAGGCTGGATGTTCACACAAAAGAAAAATCAGCTGGTTTACTGTCAAATCAGCACCACACACTTCCATCATTATATTTAACTTATATCCATTTTTTTTGTAAACTGCATTCACTGAAAAAGTCAAGAACACAAAAAGCAAAATCATAAGACTTTATTATCAATTTATATAAATTTCCAAATAGAAAACTTGAATGAACTCAATAGCGTACATGGGAATAGAAATCAGAGATTAAACCTGCTTTCATGATCAAACATGTTTTGATTTATATTAAAATATCAATTAGTTCATTTCTCTCCTAAAACTCATCAGTTGTTTGAAGATTACCCCCCCTCCCTTCACCTTGTTATTTTTGTAATGAACATTCAGGTGGAAGAGGCACCACATCTCATACAAGTCCACTAATTTTAATCTAACAGGAGGTCAGTCGTTTGAATATTACCCCCCACACTTTCTATTGTTATTTTTGTAATGAACATTCATTCCTATTTCTGGAGATCTTGCATGAGAAATTTCTCATTGTTCTGGAGGCTTTTGAAGAAGACTTCTTTGGCGGCACGTCCAGCACCGTACAGGGGACCATAGAGCTTCCTCATTTGAGACTGACGGGGAGAGAGAGCCATGATTTCATCATAATGCACCTTCGAGATGACTTCTTCATCGATGAGGTCATCCAAAATGGCCGCAACGTTGGTCACTCTGTTGATCAGCGCAGTTCTGTGTTCATCCACAAAGTGTTTCTCTGGGGAGAGAAGAAACAATGACTCCATGACGACAGAATACAATTTCCCAAAAGTGTCAAACTAACAACACGCTGCACTCGTCTGCTCCGTTCATTGCTCTGCAGCATGTGCTGTGTTTGGAGAACAAGTTGCACCTGTTCTAAACATCCAACGGTGCAGCAACACAGAAATGAGGTTCAATGGGGACGTTCTGGATTTTCTAACAATCGGATCAGTGGCTGATGAATTAAATTAGAAAAGAAGACGTGCCGCTACCTGCGCTGCCATCTCGTGCCGGGGTGTTCACACCAGCTGCTCCGGCTGAAACAAATTCATGGAACATTTCAATTGTTTTGGGATGGAGCGTTTTAGTGTTTTCATACACACAGAAAATAAAGAGATCAACTGTCAGGGTGGAAATAGAACACTAGTCAAATGTTTTTCTGGCACGTCCTCGACTTCCTGATTGTTAAACACTTTCTGCGAGTCAGCTTCAGAAATGTAGAGGCAGGCAGCATGCAACAGGAAAAGAAATCCTGGTGGTGTAGATATTAATCCAAACTCCTTCTCTCATCTATCATTAGTCTCTCCAAACAGAGCAGCAAACCTGCTACATTCAAAATTAAATAAAAATTTGATAGTGAAAATAATTTACTGGCAGTTGTATTCTATCCTAATCTTCTACAATAAATATGATACTAAATAACTTGTAATACTGTAAATACTCTATTACAACTTTTAACAAATGACTCACAGTTACTGGACTGTCCACTGGTCTCTTTCACTGCCAAAATAGAACAAAAAGGTTTGAGATAACGTTGACAGAAAAAGAACCATGGTGGATTAACAACTTTACAATTCCTCCAAGTCACACGCCTGTCGGTACCAGACAGGCTGGGGTCAATGTTGCTCAAGTGCTTCTTAGACTCTCGAGATTCCCCCTTTAGTGCATCGAGAACGCGCATGACACACGCAAGACGTGCACAAGCAGTAAAATCCTTTATTTCCCGCAGATATAATAGTTTACAAACATTACTGGATACATTCCATGTTTCAAAACCAAAAATATTAACATTTGATGTCATTTAGTATTATCTTTTCTTTAGGGGGGCTGAAGGAGGGGCGCTCCAGATGGGTCGACGCGCCATTGCCTTCTATTGGCCAGCAGCAACAAGAGCAGAAAACCCTCTGAGGTTTGCTCGATAAAGGAGATGAAGTAGAACATCTCAGACTATAGAGAATGACTTTAATATTCTGCCGCAGAGAATAATAGTAATAGTAGGAATAATAGTAGTACTTATTTTTCTGCCCGATCCACCGATGTGTGGCTTGCCCGGTAGTGGCGGAGCTCCAAAGTGAAAGTAAAAATATATATATATTTTTTTATAACTTTTCAAACCCTTTCCTGTGGAAAATTGTCGATGCTGCAAATGACCACTTGGTTAATTAAAAGCTGTCATCTGTCAGCTTAATTGCCCGCAGGGGTTGAAGCATCTTAAAAGCCGAATAAAGACTCTGGGAACACCTGGAAACCAGGAAGCCTCGGATACTTACGGAGTTGAGTTGCCTGTTGTTTACAGCCGATTTCTTCCAGCAGCTCTGCAGTCACCGAAGGAGCTTTGGCTTCGGTAAAAGTTGACATCAAGACATCGGCGATCCGTAAGAAGTTTTTACCCTCCACCTTGTTGTAGGGAACGTTCGGCTGTCCAGGGCGATCGATGAGCGCATGGCAGAACGCTTCAAAATCATCCTTTGAAAGGTTCGCCAACGCGTCTTTAATCGCCGCTTTGGGGGTTTTGGGGGGCATTTTTCACCGAAAGATCCCGAACTGCAGATCAGATGTTGTGATACAAGCGGAGGAAGACGAAATGAGATGGCTTCTTCTTTTCCGCTCAGGGAACTGGTGGAGACGCGTTCATGTACTGCCGGAAATATCACGATCGTTGCAAATTGATTATGTAATAGTTATTTAATAACTATAATATACTGTAAAGAAATCAATATCAACACATACAGAAAGTATTACTCTTGTTATTGTAACCATGTAATACAAAGAAGAAGAATTAAATGGTTAATTAAAGGCAGCAGCAAAAAAGAAAAAGTCTTTCACCCGTATTTAAAGCAGCTGAGGGCCTCAGCTCACCTGCAGCTTTCTGGGACTTTGTTCCAGATTTGTGGAGCAGAAAAACGGAATGCTGCTTCTGTTTTTAGTTTTAACTCTGGGAACAGTGTTTACGCACATATTCATGTTGTAAAATAAAACTCGGTTTTGGAAGATACGTGAAAATGTAAAAATGTGTAACGCTCAGGTGGACGGATTCAAAGGTTGGTCGGAGACGGACTTTCCTCTCTTATTACGTATGTGGATCTGTGCCTAGTTAATGTTTCTAACGGAAAATGACAGTATTTCCGATAGCATTTGAACGCAGCACTTTTTTTCCTGTAGTCGTAGGCGGGAAATAATGTCACCCGAATCTTTGGATCATGGAGCAGCTCCATGGCCAGCGAAGACAAACCTGATGAACGTGGTACAAGCATTGGCACAGTTGTTTTTTGCTGTATTATTTGGTTTCAAGTCTTGTAAAGTCAATACTTGTAAAGTCAATACTGCAGGTTAGTGTATTAAGGGGCAGTAGCGGTTAGATTGGCCTTTCACCTAATCCTCTCTGTACAGATTCAAAAACCAATGTAAGTTCAACTTTTAAGAATAAAATACTCAAAATGGTGCTTTACTTAAAATTATACTGGTGCTGAAATTTTTGTTCCTCTTCTTTAGAAAGGCGCCCATAAATCCTTCAAGACCACAACCCGGTGAGTTGAAAAGGTCCCAGCAGTATCTAGGTTCAGGGTGTTATATATATTATGTTTGTATTTTATTTCAAAATAGATGGAAGCATTCTTTCATTCTTCATTCATTCTTCTTTGCACATGTCCCTTGTTTTTAGTCCTCTTCCAGAGACAATTGCAAACTGTCATTCTGCAGTGCTGGGACGGCTCCTCCTGACGATGTCGCTGCATCTCATTCTCACTCTCATTTAAATAGTATCTCTGGTCTTTGCACAATGTTGTCAAGCTCCGTGTGTGCAGGACAAAACCCCTTTTTTTTTTAGTTGACTTGCTGTCAGGGCCAGTCTAATGGCGTCCAGTTTCTCTGACTGTAACACAAAAAAAAAACATAAGAAAAAAATGATTATGAGCACAGAGAGAGTTCAGGCACAGTGTTGATCATTAGGGTCAAAGCCAAAGTAGTCAAGCATTACGTCATTTCCAGGAAACTAAATCAAGCTGCTGTGAAGAACAGAACAGCCATGAGGTTTTAGACTACATATGTTATATATATATGCATATGGATATATACATATAAAAGTTACACTGTCGCAATGAGGCACTTGAGCACAAAGCGAGGTCGAAGGGCGTGGCCGCTGAGCTCACCAAGTTTGTTCGCCTGTTCGTGGCAGTTGATTTGTTTGAGGACCTCCACGGACACGCGCACGGCCCCGGTCTCCGTGAACGTGGAGACGAGGACGTCCACGACCTCCAAGCGGCTCTTCCCCTCCACCCTGTTGCGCCTCACCCGCGGCTCTTCCCCGCAGTCCAGAAGCTGGTCGACAAAGTCGTCGAAGTTTTTCCCCGGCAGGTCATCCAGCATGTCCGCTAAAGTCACTCTTATACTCCTGGCAGTCATTTTTAAACCTATCAAGTGCAAAGAGATGTTTTTTTTTAAATGTTGATATTTCCCCACCTCTCCCTCGAGGTTAAGATGCACAACGGGAAGGACGCGTTCAATGCCGCTGTTGGATAATCGAAAGTATGAGTACTCAGGTGTCAATTTGCTCTCGGTGCTTGCATGACACACGTCACTGAGAATAGGATGCAAAGTTTAAAGTGCAAATATATATAATATAAGTATTGAGGTCCTGTTCGCACTCTTATCATGCATGATAAGTATTACTCCGAATTATATACATTATATATGTAATATATATATATATATATATATATATATATATATATAATACTATAATACTACACATTATGGTCTAACTCCTACGAGCAGCACATGAAGGCAGCCATAGATCCGGAAGAGGTTGCTTATGTTTACTCATTATGAATGCATTTCTTATAAATTATTAAGTCTCTTGGTGTGTTTGTGTGGTTAATGACACTCGTCACACAATCCTATGTTTATATACAGTTTATTTACAAATCATCACACAGGCTTAAACGTTCACAGTGCGTGCCTGGAAATAAGCTCAGGTTTTCGTTATTCTGACTGGCAACAGAGGTAGACATGAGTTTTGTATCACAAAATTATTAATATAAATGCACAAAACTCTACAAGACGTTCATATAAACACTATCTACAAAACGGTTCCTTCTTAGACACAAAATAGGGCCTCCGACGTTGCAAAAGAAGAATCTCTGTATCATGCTTTAAATGCCGCTGTGCCGCAGTTACGTAGCCCTGAGGTGCCATGTGTTTCTGTGTCAGGTATTGGGAGAACTTCCTTTATATTTATCCATTATTTAAAAAACGACTGAATATGTTTTTTTATTTGATTCCCTGAAATGCAGCATGTATAAAGTGGCTGTCTGTGACATCATCACCCGTGCCGACACTGCAGCTCGGAGGCAGCGTTCCCTTTGCAGGCCGGTGGGCCTGGTGCTCCTGGTGTGCCTTGGACTCCTGGTAGCTCTGGTACTCAGGGTATCCCTATAAGTCCTGCTAACCCTTTTTCCTACAGAGACGGCCATGTTTCGCTGCTGTGCTCCGATACCGCCGCCCCCCCGGTGCACGGCTGCCACGCCTCCGTGTTAGTGGGCAGAACGTTCAGGCTGGTCAACACCTCCTGCGCCGTCTTTCCCAGCATGCCCTGTATGTCGCAGACGAAGCGGTAGACGTAGCGTTTTCCCGCCGTCTTGTGGATGATGTTCTTGTGGTAGTAGTAGCGTAGGCCGCGGCTCAGCTTCTCGTAGTTCATCTTGGGTTTGTTCTTGCACTGGCCCCAGCGCTTCGCCACCTGTGGGATCAACGGACAAACGAAAAACACTCCGTCAATGTGTGTTTGTACCTCTGAACAAAGTCCTACATTCAAAGTCGTACTTCACAAAAGTTGATGTGCTGCAACTATCAAATAAAATGCAAATGGGATGTTAATGCTTAACAATGGGTTTTATTTTAAAATCTAAAAAAAGTTACAATATTTCCCTTTTGAGATGTAGTGTTGTACGAGTTTAAATATAACGCCACTTAAGATACTACACTACACTGCCGCCACTTTGAGCGACCTCCTCACCTCCGAGGGGTCGGACATCTTAAACTCCCACCCGTCTCCGGTCCAGGAGATGAAGGTGCGACAGGCTGAGTCCAGAAGAAGCTCCAGTAAAAACTGCCACAGCTGGATTGGACCGGAACCTGAATGGATGAAATAAAACCGGCAGCCATTCATTAGGTTGCTGAACAAATCTTGTCATTATCAATTAACGAAGAAGCTCTGTGAGCCTTTACTTACACTCACAGTTCTAGTTTTACTTACACTCACAGTTCTAGTTTCAAAAAAAGTACAGTGACAAACACACAAGTATGAAGCCTACTTCAAGACTTAAAAGAACCTGTGATTGTTTTACTAAATATATTTATTATATTTGTTAATGTTTGCACATTTTTTTAGAGCAGCTCAGAAGAGACGAGGGATCAAACCTGGATAAGTGGACATTCCCGGCATGTGGCCCTCCCTGTCCGGCCTCTGGGGGTGTGCGCTCTTGCGTTTGACCACACGGGGGCAGTACTGCTCCGAGGCCTGAGGGCCGGGGGCCGCAGGCGGGTGGGCAGTAGGGGCGGTGAAGCCGGGACAGGAGTACTCGGGCCAGAGGGACGAGGGCGGCCTCTGCCCGTCGGAGTCGTACGGCTCGGCCGAGTGACGCGAGTAGCTCGGCTCCGTCTCACCTGGAACAAAGAGGCGGAGTCACACACCTGAGCGGCAAAAAGCAGACGGGTCACGCCGTAGTTTTTCCACAGAGGGAGACGACTTACTGTGTAACGTACTGGGGCCTTCTGCGCTCACGAAGGGGCTGTGGCTGCCCTCCACCGCCGGGCTGAACTGCCCGTTGAGGGGCACCAGGCTCTGGTACGTCTGCGGGGACTCCTGGTACCCAGTTTGTGACTGGTCCACCGTCAGCCCCTCTGCACACCGAAACGCAAAGTCAGCCACGAAGAAACTTTACCCTTTAGGGAAATACAAGCACTTTGATGACCGCGGGCGCTCACCGTGCGAGCAGGAGGCCCACCAGTTGAACTCCTGGTAGGAGTCCAGGTTGAAGAGGCAGGTGTCGTCGCTGCTCGCTGCGAGAAAGGGCAAAGAAAGCAACTGTGAGATGAGTCAAGAGCGCCTGGCTTGTTATAGCGACCATGAAAGGTGTGTGTGTGTGTGTGTGTGTGTGTGTGTGTGTGTGTTTGTAACAAATATTCTGAGGTTTCACCTTTAATGTCGTACGGGTGAGAAGCTTTGGGTGGCTCCGGGTAGCTGCTCTCTGCCACATATTGCTGCTGCTGCGCGGGCGCTTTACTGTCTAACAGAAAAGACAGGTCTTCACCAGGGTAGTCTGGAGGTTCAACACAACGCAGACAGGGAGAGTCAAGACAGGGAGAGGGAAGGCCGGAGAGAGAGGGTGCTTACTCGGAAAAGGACCACACCAATTGTTTATACTCAATGTTGATTAAAGTTCTTTGATTTCATCATCATTGAAATGAAAATTCCCTCAATGGAGAATTATTGAGGTAACTTGACTTCTACAGCATCTCAAGCATGTTTTCAAGACTCCACAAGTAAGAGTTTCTTACAATGAAGAACACAAACAAGACACTGCATTAAAAAGTAGGATATTGATCCAAAAGAGTACAAGTACCCTGTGTAGTACATGTGCTTTAAAAACAGAAGGTTGAATCATTGGTGGTGTTCTTTAAGCTGGAGGTTTATTAAAGATTTACTAAATGTATTAAACTACACTCAGCAAGAAAGGCAAGATGGGGTAATGGTTTTATCTTAAAGGCTGGATGTTCACACAAAAGAAAAATCAGCTGGTTTACTGTCAAATCAGCACCACACACTCAGGCGCTTTCAGCTCTATGGATGGGAGGTTGGGGGTGGGCAGCTTGGAGGAAACGGGGGAGTGGGGGAGGAAGAGACGGGAGGAAACGCAGCGGAGGGAGTGTGACAGAGTAGTGATGGAGGTCTGGGGAACAGGGGGGTGTACTCTAAATCTGTTGGAGGAGGAAGTCTGGAGGAAAGGATTAGGGAAGACATGGGAGTGTCTTTAACCTGACCACCCTGTTTCTGTCTGTCTTTGCCTACCTCAGCCCATTCAAGCGTTTACACACACACACACACACACACACACACACGCACAACAAAGCAGCACCCCACTATCCCGGGTGTCAAGGTCTCATGGAGAAAGCTCTGACAGATGTGATGAGACTCTCTGCGTAAATATTTCCTGTGTCCTTCAGCTGCTGAGGTTCGGAGGAAACAGATTGCGCAAACATACAACAAATAGTAATAATTCTGTCAGGGCATCGCTGAGGGTCTAAACCCGAGACATCATAAGTGATGAAGGAAAGAGGAGAAAAGAAATTAAAAATAATCTCTAAACTCACCATAAGATGCAAAGTCAAAGCCGGCCGGCACTTCCTGCGTCCTGAAGTCTTCTGTGTAATATCCAGTCTGGCAAATCTCCATCTGCGCGGAAAGAGTCGTGATTACAACTTTCACCATGGCAACAATCCTCGTCGATGGATATCTAGGACAAGGCAAAATGAAAGGCCCTGCACTTTGTGTTAGTTTGCTAAATATAAACTCTCATAATCTATGCATCCTATTTCCATCCGGCGTTTTTTTTTAAATAATCTTTTGGTCAAAGTCACGAGGCATCAAGCAGCAGTGTGAGCCTTTTTACACCAACCTTTTCTTAGTTAAAGTGCTATGTTACATGATCTTTTTTGGCAATAATTCACTTTTTTATGCGTGTAAAAAAAAGAGACCTATGATAATTTTCATTCTGAAAAGTAGTACAGTTCTCACAATGTCAGAAAATATAGCAAAAAAAAACCCATCCTCTTATTTCACGATGAAAATGCTATTCTTTTGGTCACGCCCTCGTTGTGATTTTCAGCATAAAAGTTTTTTTTAAAACTCCGAATTACCTTCATTTTCGAGTCCCTGCCGTCTGTGCTTCTGTCTCCAGGTTTGATGACGGTGTCCCAGTACATCTCTCTTTCTCTCACACGCTTTTTTCACCGGCTACACGAGTGGTCGCCCTCCGGCCGGCGCGCTCCCGTTATAACCGCGGCGCCCGGTGGGAGGGGCGCGTGAGGCCGCTCTGCGTCGTGACCGGAGAGAGAGAGAGAGAGAGACACCGTGACGTCACACGCGCCCCCTCCCAGCGACAACAACAAACTGAACCAAACGATCATTCATAAAACACTGACACCGTAATCTTCCCGCGGAATACATCACGACGAGTTTGGAGCGACGGGTGGTGGAAGAAATACAATATCAGACTGCGATGTAAGTTAAAGTAATTAGCAACAGAAATGACATAAAGTAACTATCCAAAATAAAATAGAGCGGAATGACCCCGGTCATTAAATGCTTCTATTTCCGATTATTATAAACATTCAAATGAATGTCAGGCCATCCAGCTACACACTATATAAAGTTACATTACCGGTTAGAAAATTAACATTTTGTTCAGTAAGTATATCTACATGTTTCGTTTGAGATAAAACAACTAGGCCTCGCGCTGCCAGTGGAGCAAAAAGAACACGATTGTAATAGTAATATTATTTTTTTTAAATACTCGAAAATGTATTAAAATAGCCAGGTGAAGTATTTGCGTGCATGTGGTATTTTTTGTTACACTCGCATGATATCTCATGTATATTTATTGATATTTAAAGGAGACAGAAACAATTAGATCGGAAACAGCACGTCCAACTGCATACGGTGTAAAAAAAACACTTAATAATACATTTAATTTAATTTAATAATTATGGGTGTTTTTCAGTTTTTATGTCAGGGACAAAGCTGACCGACAGGCAGAAAAAACCTGCTGATTGATCGAGAAAATAACCAGTACCGATGGTGCAGAGACTAAACGACAAACAGCCCTAAAACAATATCAGTCAGTTCACGGTCAGCGCGGTCCGTTCAGGTAGTTATTGATATTCGTCATAAATGGATATCAAGGCATATTTCTACAACTTTAAGCCTCACGAGGATTCGATACAAGAGGAACCCCATAACGAAACGATTACAGGCTGAATAATATCCAGTTAGAACACCCATGTGTTATTTTTATCCTCTGATAACGTGAGGACTAAATAACTGAGCCGGGCCTTGGGTGGGGATGAAGTGCAGTCTTTTGAAATCACAGCAGTCGGTTTCTAATGAGGAGGGAGGAAGAAAAAAAACAAAAAACAACTCTGTATCTTTAGAAGCCATTCAACAAAACAATGGCCCGTAAAACCCACACAGACAGACACGCACACACACACACGCAAAAAGTACTGGCAGAAGAAAGTCCGAAATCACTGCGTGAGTGGTTGCAGCAGATAAGGCCGAGCCCAGGACCTTGTATAAACAAACAGCACGACCCCCCCCCAACACACACACACACATCTGGAAAAGTGGAGCTGGCTGAAATCGTGCGCGTCGGTGGGAGACTGGAGTCGTGATTGGGAGCCCCACCTCGAGACCTCGAGACGAGGACTGGACCGGGATAAGGTGACACAGCGAGAGGTGATTAACAGCCACCTGGGCCCTCTGACGCGGCGGGTCACAGTTGGAGTTACACTGTCACGCCGCAATACGCCTGCAAACAGCATCCAATCAGCCAGACATCTACAGCAATTACCCTTTTAATGTCCTCACTAAGAAAAAAAAGAGAGTATTTGTTTGCATTCATGCTTTCTGGGCCATAGTAATCTCATGTTATCTTTTTTTAACAACATCTCTATCTCTATCTTTAACATCAATTAAGGTATTAGGGCTTAATCAAGTTAGGTTAGGGTCAATGGATGTTCAGACTTAAATGTGCTGGTATTTCCAAAGAGTCTCAAAAGTTTAAAATGAATAAATATTTTATTCTCCAGATGTGGTGGAGAAAGTTTTTGGATCATTTGAAAAAGGAAACGTCAGACAAAGTATCCGTCTGTAAAAAATGGCTTTTGTGACAATTTTACTATAATAAATTACTATTCAGTGATCCTGAGAGATAAATATCTTATACAATAAAGAATAAGAATACATTAAACAAGAGTATAGAATATGACATAATTATTAATAATAATAATAATAATAATAATATAACAAAGACAAAATGATGATGCATTATATAATATGTTATAAATTAAAGTATCAACAACATCATTATCATGAAATAGAAAATATCGATACCTTCAATGTTCCTTTTCATTTGACTCACTTTAGTTTACATCATCATCGGGCCTTTGGGCTATATATGATTTTTTTATTCTTCCAAATGGTTAAATTATCATGAGTACAATCAGACTGAAAGAGATGGCACACTATTCTTACCCCATGGCTGTGCAACAGGAAGTGAGGCCTAAAATGGAATTACCTGCTGATGTGCTTTTGATTAGAGTATCCTCTGGACCGGATGAACTGAACGGCTCTATTCTTGTTCATGTTCAATACAATTATCTCTGACAATGAAGAATAAAGTCCTAGCTATTTATATACTCTGTGACATTTGGTTATTTTATTGAACATTCACAAAGTTAAAAAATGTCAAATGTTTGTTTTAACGTAAAAATCAGCGTTTACTTGATATTGCTCTTGTTCATAGTGCAGAGCTAGAACAGCTATGACCCTTCTTTTCTTTTAAAAGACAGTCGGGACAGAGTCCTTTGTAACATGTTTATGCTTATCGTTAACAGGCTCTTTAAAAGACAAAACCCTCGCAAAGCAGCCAGTCCGAACTCCGTCCACCACCCACCCCCACCCCACCCTGAAGCATTGTGCTCACCAGCTGTCTCCGGTGTTCACAGACGTACCAGCCTGCTACAAGGCCTCCACCTTCATCCCTGTTCCCAAGAAGCCCGGGATCACAGGACTAAATGACTACAGGCCCGTCGCCCTGACCTCTGTAGTCATGACGTCTTTTGAACGGCTAGCCCTGTCCCACCTGAAATCCCTCACCGACCCCCTCCTGGACCCCCTGCAGTCCGCCTACAGAGAGACAGGTCTGATGCTGTCAACATGGCCCTCCACTTCATCCTCCAGCATCTGGACTCCCCAGGAACCTACGCTGCAGGACAAACTCTCTCAGCTGCACGTGCCCGACTCCACCTGCAAGTATATGACTGACTTCCTGTCTGACAGGAAGCAGCACGTGAAGCTGGGGAAACATGTCTCAACCTCTCGGACCATCAGCACTGCTGCATTCTCTCCCCTCTGCTCTTCTGCCTGTAAACAAACAGCTGCACCTCCAGCCACCAGTCCGTCAAGCTCCTGAAGTTTGCGGATGACACCACCTTCATCGGACTGATCTCTGGTGGGGACGAGTCCGCCTACAGGTGGTAGTCTGACCATTTGGTGACGTGGTGCAGTCAAAACAACCTGGAGCTCAACGCTCTAAAGACACCTTCCCCCATCCCCCCCTGTGGTTTCCTTCTGTTTCCTGGGCTCCATCATCACCCAGGACCTGGGCGCTGAACATCAGCTCCATCACCAAGAAGGCTCAGCAGAGGCTGTTCTTTCTGAGGCAGCTGAAGAAATTCAACCTGCCAAAGATCCTGACAACACGGCCAACATTGAGTCCATCCCATGCTCCTCCATCACCGTCTGGTACGCTGCAGCCACAGCCAAGGACAAGGGCAGGCTGCAGCGTGTCATCCGCTCTGCAGGCCGATCGGCTGCAAACTGATGTCTCTCCAGGACCTTTTCGCTTCCAGGACCCTGAAGCGAGCTAAAGACTAAATCTGTGTGTGCCCTTTCCATCTGGCAGGAGGCTGAGGTCCATCAGAACCAAGACCTCCCGCCAGACAAACAGTTTCTTCCCGTCGGCAGTCGGGCTCATCAACAGTGCCCCACTGACCGACTCTGACTTCACACTCCACATACACTTTCACTTGTCACTTTCTGTTCGCTGGTGCACTTTATTTGTAACTTTTTATTTTTACATTTTATTTTTTATTAAATTTAAATTAAATTTAAATTTCTATGTTGTTCTTGCATGTTGTTTTATCTGCCTTGTTGTCCATTTGTCTTGTCTGATGTTATGCACCAACCGCCAAGTCAAATTCCTTGTATGTCTAACATATTTTGGTAATAAATGTTCCTGATTCCTGACCTTAAGAGTCAGTGTTTTTTGTAACACAATGCAAGATACTATCCCATAATATCTGCCATAATAAAGCAACATTTTTATGTGTTTTAACTTAATATGCTTGTGTCCCATGTGACATTCATGATCCAAAAATATAGGTCCTCTGGAAATTGTCTTAATTTATTTTTTGACACTTTAAATACAACTGCGGTTAATACAAAACCCTAAGATTTGTTTTAAGGTTAAAGAGTGAGCGTTTATACAATCCCATTAGGCCTTCCTGTGTAATTCTGGCAGGCAAACGACAGAGGATTTTGTTTGTCCTTCTGAACAATAAGTCACTGTTCCGTGAGAAGCAGCTTCGGTGCTTTCAGTGTTTAACAGTGACTTCACTTCCCAATTCAGAGTTAGAGAGAGAGAGAGAGAGAGAGAGAGAGAGAGAGAGAGAGAGAGAGAGAGAGAGAGAGAGAGAGAGAGAGAGAGAGAGAGAAAAAAACGTGTCATCCGGTTATGGTCTGTGAGCGAAAAAAAAAATGCAACTGCAATGGTTTGCGCCATAGAGCCAATGCACCCCTGCATGCATTGAAGTGCGGTTAGAAGGCTAAATTAGCTGCGACATTGACAAAAACGACTAAATGACAAAGACTTCGAGGCTGCTGCAATGGACTGTACGATAAAGGTACGTGTTTGAGAGCTTTTACCTGGTGAGAATGACAGGCGGCCACCCAGCCGGAGTCTGCTGAGTGAGAGAGTCACGGCGGTGATGCGAGTTCCCCACTCTTTCCTTCTTGTACAAAATTTCCTCTTCCTTCCCGTTCGTGGTTGTATGTCGGCTCTATAATAACACAACTAACCACTACATCTTTACACTCGCATATAAACACTAATCGGTGGCCGGTTACGCGCGTCAGACAGGGCTTCCAAACGCGTTTTGACTTCTTTCTTTTTTTTTGGTGGGTTTTCTTCTATATTCTGAGTTCTTATTAGGAGCTGCACACTGCGCTATATAACGGAACTTGGGTGCAATTTAAAAATAAATAACGCGCGAAGACCGAAGTTATTGAACTTGGACGGGTTTGACGAACTTTTAACGAAGTTAATGAGGGGATGCCGGATTTTATGGGTGCGCACAACGCAGGTGTCGCTAAAGGCGCCACGGACCGACTTGGACCCAGCGAGAGCCCCTTTCTAAAAGGAGCGGAATCCATTTTCATCAGATGACTGGTATTTCACTTTTCACACTATTACAGCTCTTATCCTCTGGTAGTCCTCTCCACACCACCACAGCGGAGTCGTTTTAATATATTTTTTTAAAAAGGTAGAAATAAAGGCCTTCGGGTCGGGACTTCTAATCGAAAATCACCATTCAAATAAACTGAAAAAACGATCGAAAAAACGATTGTTGCGCAACGAGGGAAAAAGGCAAACGTTTGTATTCGACGACGTTTATCACGAATATACAAATTGTATACGTTGTTTGAACGAATGTGCGTCGTTACAACTCTGGCCTGAGGTGTTTTATTGCTATTTGTGCCTCAGAATATTCTGCAACCATCCGAATGAGTTAACTTCGACAAGTTATCAATGCCGCCATTAATACGTTCATTACTTCGTTATGAACGATTCATTATAACGAATGTCGCAATACTTCAACCAAAATGTATATTAGAAAAAAATATTGAAAAAAAACAGGGCGTCGGTGGATGGAGGAACTAATTTGACTAATCTCTGTCTTGATTCATTTCAAGAGTTATTTGGCCTATATGTTGCACGCTTTATTGGTGCATTTTGGACAGTTAAGTAATTCAGTGTGGAGTATTCATTTGAAGATAAGGGGTAATAATAAGGCCAGTGCAGAAAAATTATGACAACGGTTTAGCTTTTCGTTTCTGAAAGTTATAATTTGATACAATGATACAAATGTGTTGTATTTGGTTATTTGGGTTTCAGCTGTTTACATTGTGGAACAAATACTGGATGCTTCGTTGATTTAAAAAAAAAAAAAGAAGCTATTTTTTATCAGATACCGTGTCGCAGCAGTTTGCGCGTTTGAGGTTATTTTAAGTATAATTTATAGCTGCAAACGGGAGCAACGTCAGGTGTCGTTATCTGAGCCCAGCAGGCTTCCTGTCTCAAAACCTCAGACTTTCCGCACTCATTTCCGCTCATGGACTAGAGGAGAGAAAGGGAGGGAGAGCGAGAGAGAGAGAGAAAAAAAGATGTCGAAAGATCAACAAAAGCCTCCCAGCAAGAAAACGGAGGGGACAAACTTAGGCGTTGCATTGTTTTTGTTAAAGCGACATTGTGACCCAGGAGCGAAGGGCCGCCGAGGCCCCACGCAGGGCCCAACGGAGGCCCGACGCAAGGCCTCGCGAAGGGCCTCGCGTGCTGCCGGGCTCCGAGCTGTGGAAACCGCATCGTTGTTTGTGCAGCAGAAAGCGCAGCTGCTCGCGTCATGCCTTCACTTTTACTTCTGCTTTCTGCCTCAGACACGGACCCGCGGCCTGCCTTGTTTTTGCGCAACTTGTATCTCTGGCCTTGCTGACGAGCGGCCTGCATCTTATGTGGAGGAGTTCACATGTTTTTCAGGGCCGTCCCTATGCCCCCCCCCCCCACCCCCGGAGTGTCCGTTTCCAACGTTTTAACATCGATCCGAGATGATGGTTGATGCTGGGAGGGAGGAAAACCGAGAGCAGCTTCTTTTAACACACGAGGCCGTTCGTGTTCCCAAAGCAGAGTGATCACGTTGGTGAAATGTCCTCGCATCTGCACCCTGTACCCTTTACAGAACTAGAGGTGAAAAATAATACTTCAGAAAAATGAAAGGTTTTCTTCTCTATTCGAATGTTTCCTGCACCTGTGTGGAACCACAATTAGTCGTTTACTCCGTTTATCAGTCGATAGAACATCGATTAGTTTTTTGTTTGTTTGTCAACAACAAAAAGACAGTTCCAGTTAGTAAAAACAATGGCTGGCCTTTTTTATTATTATAGATAAACATATTTGCTCACTTCTGATGGGACTACAACTTGGGCAAGAATTCTCAGTTTTCTAATTCTTAAATTAAATTATTAATTAACCTCCATGTTACTGTTATCGTTCACGCCGTGTGGTAATATATTTTTATGTTTTAAACAAAAGGAACATTTCTAAAGAAGTCGAAGTCCGTGCCGTGAACATCACTCATGGATGCAACCTGCAAAGCTGCAGACTTCAAATCATGTCAGAAGTGTGCAAAGTGTTTACCATCAAACTGAAACACTGTAGGACATCGAGGCACAAAAAAACAAGTTGTTTTGTGTCTCTGAGCAAGAGGCTGAAACACATTGAACAGGAAGTCAGTTGTGGCATCAGCGGTCAGGCCACATTTTGGTGAGTTAGTGCGCAGAGCAGAGAGAGAGAGAGAGGGAGAGAGAGAGGCGGGGGTGGAGGGGGGGGGGGTTAAAAAAAGAGCGGGGTTGCGTGTTCGCGGTTGTGAAAGCTTGAGCTTGTCGCTAAACATTCAGACCTGTGTCCGATGAGCGTCTACGAGTCACGATAAAAATCAAAAGCTCGAGTGCTGAGCACCAAAACGTGGAACCATTAACGAGCGCGCGGCGCGTCTTCTCACGAGAGATTTATCTGTTTCACTTCTGCACGCGGGCCCCTGATACCAGCACGAGGACTGGGGTAAAGGGGACAGAGCTGAGGAGGATGTGAAGTCCCGCAACGCATACAAAAAAAACCCCCAGAAAAAACATTAGCATGAACAATAACAAAATTAATTCATGCAGAATTCAATATTGCAGATGTACAAAGTATGTGCACCGGTCGTGGGAAGTACTAATGCAGCTATAACCACAAAATATATACTTTATATAATGAGAAGAGATGCCTCGGGTGGTGTCAATTGAGTCAATTTGGGTAGAAGACGTAACTAAACTAAAAGATCTGTGTGTTTACCAGACGTCTGTGGTCTGCCTCTGAGCTGCATTAGCCACGTTAGCCTTGGCTGCTTAGCAACTCATATCAGGATTGGTTTAAAATCTATCTCAATTGTTTAAAACTACCGTCGTCGGAATAAAAATGGAAAATGGGCGTGTCCAATGCTTCACACAGTGCAGGTCACGCCCCTTTTCTGTATTTTCTCAGAAGGCGGCTGAAATTTCCCCCACACTGCTGACTTCTCTCTTAGCTCGTATGCGGCCTCGAGGAAATGCCAACACGGTGTCATTAAGACTCGCTTTACAACGCTCGGGCAACCATTGAGCTAAAAAAAACCCAACACGGGGCAAAAAAACAAAAACAAAAAGGAAAACACAATGCGGAGGCGGCACTTCAATCAGGGCTCCAGCCCCCCCACCCTCACCACTAGCCTTTAGGGTTGTTTTCCAACTTTAAAATGACCCACATTTTTACATTGTGCCCCCCCCCCCCCCCTCCCTCCACTTCCTCTCCCTTGGCCTGTGCCAAAAGGTTCCTATGCACATGGCGGCCAGGTTTCCTGTAGGCCACTGACAAAGCACGCCGCTGACGTACACGGCCCAAAGACAATGCTCAACTCCTCTAAACAAACACGCACTCGCACCCACTCGGACGCGCACTCATCACACGTGCACTCGTTTCAACGCGCACTCGTCTCAACGTGAGAAACAGACACAGCAGCATGAAAGTGGCACCTTGGTTTTCTGAGGCCTCGCTGCTGGTGTCGAAGACAGGAAGACGGAGTTAAATCTCAATTAGACTCCACCTTTAGCTAACTGCAAAATAACGACAAAATAAAACTGTGGTTAAGGTAACTGATGTTCTTTGAGGTTAGAAGGCCTCCTCGCTGCCGGCACAGTTCACTTTCAAACAGCTTTTTTCGCTGGGCCTTTCGAGTTAACGTACCTAAAAGTTTCAACCCAATCACAGGGCACTTCCACTGTTAGAGCAGCGCTTTGTTTGAAGGTTAGAAAAGACAGTATGCGATAAGAAGAACGTGTCATGGCTCCGATTCAAGAGGGCCGCGAAGAAAAAGCGTGTGCATTCAATAACAATTAGCAACATTCATATGCATAAGATCAGGGACAGTAGATGTCAAAGCAGTTGTACATGTTTATAATACGGCCTGAATGGGAAACAATACAGTATGAGGATGTAACTCACTAAAAATACATAAAGTTTGTTTATCTGGTAGTTTGTCACTCAAAGTATCAAAGTCAGTCAACGAGCCCCTTTAATCATTCTGCAATTCTTATCCTGCAATGTATTGCTTCCTAAGTCTCTACAAACTATGGTTACTGAGTTTGTTGATCACAAATCCATTCCTACAGAAACACGACACTCAGATGACGCGTTTCCAGTGAAAGTGAGATTTTATAAGTGCTGCGTGTCGCTGTTATCACTCGTACAGCTCTCACGGCCAATGGGGCCCTGACATCAGAGTAAACAAGAGGAAAAAGAGGCCCCGGCTATCTTAATGTCTGACCGCTGTTTCTCTGCCGGACAGGAAGCGCTGTCCGTAGTGAGCGAGGACCAGCCCATATTCGAGCCGCCTTACGCCGCGGTGCACATGAAGGCCGAGATGGCGTCTCCCGGCGGGTTCGGCCACGCCTCCAAGCAGAGCCCCGAGCCCACCGAGCCGTGGGTGGGGTCGGCGGCCCAGAACCCTGGGAAGAGAGGCGAACACGTCAACGGAAGCAGGTGAGTCAGGTTGGAGGCCTCGGGGGAGCTCCGGGTTCCCGCATCGTCTGACTATAGAGTTGTCACGCTCCGGTCCGGGAGGAGGGAGGGCGGGGGGGGGGGGTTTCCAGACCCTCACAATGTGTTTAATTGTTCTCTTGGCAATTACAACCCTCCGTCCCTTCTTGCTCTCCATTAGCATCCACCGTAAGTGGAAATTTTTGAATTCCAAATGTGGTAATTATGGAGTTTTTAGCTTTAACTGAAGGACAACAGGACGCCAGTGGTGGAAAGTTACCAGGCACATGTACTCATTCTCAACTACTTGCACTTTGAGCATTTCACTGGTCTGTTACTTCTTATACTACACAACGTTTCATAGAGAAATGTGCTTTCAGCTCCGGTTAATTTATCTGACGCAGATCAGAAGATTGTTCTTGGACGTGAAATAGATAAAACTACATGACTGATAACGCAATCTAATAATGTCATTATACTTTTACGTGAGAAAAGGATCTGAGTTATAAGGTAAAAGAATGTAACTCCAAGAGGACTAAACCAGTTCCCACTTGTCAGAAGTTTAAACATTACTAACTAAAAATAGTTGTTGGGGTGCAAATCGGTAGTAACACAAGTAACACTCGGCGGCTCCAGGTCACCACCAGCCTGCTCTTTGTGGGTCTTTTCCCTCAGACGGTGTGTGGCATATTGATTTGTACGAACATTGATTGGCTCCAATAAGCCCCCCGAGGTCTTCTCTTGATGAAGGTGCTCTCTCTCTCTCTCTCCAGCCGTGAGTCCCCCGTGGACTGCAGCGTCGCCAAGCGCTCCAGACACGTGAGCAACGACGGGGCCCCGATGCCGTACCAATCCACGTACGCGGAGCCCCGCGTCAGCCCCCAGGCGGCCCCCCCGCCGCCCCCGCCGCCGCCACCCGCCGGCCCCACAGAGGAGAAGAGGGTCATCGTTCCGGCAGGTGAGCTCAAACTTTAAAAATCACCCTGGACCCTCCTCCTCTCGCTGCCCTCATTACTCTCCTGTGCCACAAATAAACAATAGCAGGTTTCCTGTTGACAGCAGGTTTAAAATGAATGCTATTTAAAAAGTGTGAAGACTAAAATGCAAATGTGACTCAGAAGCAGGAACAGGAAACCCCCCCCCACAAAATATTTTACTTACTTACTTATTTGATAAAAATCTGATGGTCTTATTCCATCAATGAATCTGCAGCTGGAAGTCACAGAAAAACAAAACGAGGCATTTTGGGTTTGAATGAGTTAATAAGCTTCATTCAGCCTGAAATAAAAACGTACAAACTTAGAAGTATTAAGACCGAATAGTTCGATATGTAAACTAATTGACTCATTGGGGTCTTCCCTAAAAGAAGTAGAAATAATATCTTGATCAATAAAGCGACACATGGAACCACAGCAGGAAAACAATTAAAGTACCTGCAACGTTCCCTAAAAAACAAAAGAAAAGATGAAATCAGAAAAACTTTGTGTAATGAAAGTTTCCAGTTGAACTTTCACAAAGCTTCACAAGCACTCCGGACCGATGGTGAGAATTATTTGTGTCCCACTTTTAAAGATTTAGCGACTGGGAGCCACAGGAAGTGAATATAGAGTTGAACTGAGCCTCTTCAAAGGGGTTTGTGAACAAAATTAAAAGTAGAGAATAACTTCTGGCTAGCGGACGCTTGTGTCATTGCTTTACAGATATTTAAGGTCGAACATGTTGTAAAAACACTCATAAAGGCTCTGGGTGACGCGCTATTCTATCAACAGGTGAACTGAAGGGTGGAGGCTTTTTTTTTTGGCAGAAATAAGATGAATGGACGTGTCCCCCACTATCCAAATAGTCATAGTCCAAGTTATTATTATCATCTCGTCGGAGGACGAACCTCGTGACATCATTTACCGTTACCCTCGTCTGAGACTCGGTGTGCTCAAAGCTCGCAGCGGAACGTTTCTGTGAGTCAGTCTGACCTGTGGGGAGGTCGACCCCCCCCCTCTCCGTTCTGTGGAATCCATCTTGATTTATCCCGCTTCATAATACACGGACGTTGCATCACGAACAAGGACACTCGGTGCACGAGGGCGTAGTGGCGTCTCTTCACCGTTTATATAAGCTTCTGATTAATATTACGGGCATTTCACAGTCATTGTTTGCTCCTGGAAATGAGCTTAACTTCCTGAATCAGATTAGCAAAGAGGCCTGGACGTAGATTTCAACAAGGGCTCGGCAGTATGAAGAAAATTAAATTAGAAAAAAGGACATCTTTGACATTAGTGTGACATTATGTGTATTCACACACTATGAGATTCTAGATAAATACCCATCGGTGACGTGGACATAATGACTCACTAGGGCAAGTAAAAGACCAGCTAAAGAGGTAAGAAAAGAGAATTACATCACTTTTCTATAACACGTAAGTAGTTAAACCGGGCTTTGTTTTCACAGAATGAGTAAACCCACCCAACTTCACAATCAGTATCACGATCACAAGTATCCCAAGCGGAGCTCGTTTCTGGGTTCCATTTGTTGTTATTCTGCACTTTCATATCTCACAAACCTGTCGCTTATAGAGATCCTTCCATATGTGTTATACAAAAAGATGTGTAAAAAAAACAGGCTTTTTTTGCTTTGTCTATAAAAAAAGTTAACCGTCTCTTGCTTACACTTTAGCTACGCTGCAGTCAATCCTGTAAGTGTTCCACAATAAAAAGAAGTGTCTTGTTATTAACGGAAACATTCTCATTGCAAAATGTTGGATATTTAAACTTTTTAACTCCGGGACACATGATCTCACACACTGGAACAGATGAACAAGCTGTGATGTCACGGAATGATCTGGTCCGTACGAGTCTCAGACTGAGCTGTAAGGTTAATTATTGACGAATTGAGACGGCGTTATGAATACAGCATCTGGTCCATTGTGTGTCTGATGCCAGACCCGGAGGTGTGGACACAGGACCATGTGAGGCAGTGGCTGGACTGGGCCATCAAGGAGTACGTGCTGGAGGAAGTGGACGTGGTGCTCTTCCAGGCTCTGGACGGCAAGGCGCTGTGCAAGATGACCAAGGAGGACATGATGCGCCTCACGTCAGCCTACAACGCAGACATCCTGCTCTCGCACCTCAGCTACCTCCGGCAGAGTAAGACCCGCCCCTCTCTCCCTCTCTCTAAGCACATATATGTTCTATTTGTAGATCTCTCTCCATACATACAACTTCTCATTCAATCATACTATGAAGTATATCCAAACTTCTGATACGTCATGCGAATCTGTCAATATGTATCCATCTCTATCTATTGATAGATATATCACGTAAAATATATACAAAGTAAATGTACGTATATATTTACCAGTGTGTCAGCTTGACCATAATAAACCCGAAGGAAGATGGATAGCGCTAAAATGATGACAATAAAGACTAATCAACGGTGATAATATTGCTGGATGTTAAATGACATACACTGATTGATCAAAAATTATTTTATTGTTATTTTCAACTGCTTGTTTGTTTATTTATGTTGTTTTACTCTCTTGTGAGTAAAATTGTGATGGGGGTTTACAATTTATGAATTTATATTCACTTGACAATTCCTCTCATACTCATGAAAATAAATGAATAGGTTTCAGAGAATTTATAACCTTAATTTCTAGGACATGATGTCATTTGAGGCTGCAGTTCGGGGGGATGTTGCCGTCCTTAATGAAGCGTTGAGACCCCAGTTCCTTTTTGCTGATGCAGGTTTCCTGTAGACAATACTCATGCTCAGTACTCATGATTTCTGATACTCGCCGCATTACATCATTTTTGCAGTGTTGTTGCTTCTGCAAATCAGTGGTAAAAAGGTCTAGTTTTCAAGGTAACATAACGACAGAAACACCGGACCGGTACTCCAGCAAGACCCCGGCGGTCGACTCTTCGGTGCACAACATCCCTCATGACACCGACGCGACTCTGGGACGCTGGACGACTGCGTGATCCATCTAAAGAAACAGCATAATCTAGACTTTCCCCCCCCTTTTTTTGCTTTAGGTAGTCCTACGTTCTCATACTCCACAACCCCTACCAACACCACACCCCCATCCCCACCCCCACAACAACAACAACAACAACAACAACCACCCAGACTACAGGTGAAAGCAGGTGAGATTGTCAAGTCTTTATTTAAAAAACCGAAGCAGTTACGGGTTCTATCAATCTCTCCTCTTGCTTATTGCGTCTACCTACTGTTTGGTGTAAAGTCATTAATATCTCCTCCTGAACCGGGTACACTTGACACATTAATTGATTTGGATGAACAATCTAATATTTTCATAACAGCAGATCAGTCACAAGGCCAATTGCATTTTGGCTGAGGATACGTCTGAACCATTTAGCATGAAGATTAAACGCAGAAGTGAAGAATCAGAGCATTTTCTCCACAGCTCATTGTGAAACATTAACGGCCAAAAAAGGTGAAGAAGTCCCCAGACATTCCATAATAATTTAAATTTTCAGGTTTTAAAACGCAAGATGAAAATACTTTAGTTTTCAAATGGTGTTGCCTTAATTTCCATTTTAAAGAGTTGAGAGTTGAAAGCTCAAGACTCAGGGTCACACTCTCAAGCCAAACACAAAATGAGAGCCAAGTACTTACATACAAAAATAATCTGTTGAGTTTCAGAACGGTGTGGCATAGTTTCAAGAGGTTCAAAGAGGATCTTTGGCCAAACACTGGCCTCAGTTGACAAAAAAAAAGAAAAACCGATGAGTTCAAAACTCAACAGGCAGTTTCAGACAGGAAGCAGCTGCACCGGCGCAGGAAATGGGGAGTACGGGTCCTACTCCTGGGACACAATTCACAATCTTGTGGCAACAGGGGTGGCCGGGACAAAAGAGATTTTTTGGGTCATCTTCAGAATTCTTAGCATCTTGGTCTCCATTGACTGACTTCCTTCCTACTATAGCTGAACCAGCCCACGGTCCACTTCAAAGCCTGTTCAACGTCTAGTCTGATCCTTTTTCCTTGTGTGCAGAGAGCGGTTTTGAGGAGATCAGCTGCAGAAACAGCTGGGCGGCAAACACCATGAGTCCAGCGCCAAAAGGTATGAAGACAAAAGCATGATCCAAGGAAAAGGGTCTTTCATAGACATCGTGAATTCTGAGCATTACTCAGTGATTTTATTTTTCACTTGTAGGTCCCTCCATGGAGCACCAACACAGCGCGAGAGTTACAGAGCCCGTTGCAAGAATTGTCCAAGGTATGAAGGCCTTTTACCAAAATGATTTTACCAACCGTAAAGCAGGCCGATTCTTGCTTAAAAATGGCTGAAATCTCAGGAGCTCTATCCTGAACAACCCGATGTTTCCAAAAAATCCTTTAACGACAGATGTGTGCAAGGGTTAAGAGTGTCGCGCCAGCTGCTCTCCAAGGCCGGTGGGAAGGTCAATAGGTTTGGTGGTATTCAATCACACAGACCAAATGACAACGGTGTTCTCACAGTCCGTCCAAAAAAAACAAGCCTACAACGCCAACCCAAGAGTCCTGCAGCTTGCATTTCATTTTTACCCACCAGCAGAAACGGATGAAGGGGGTTCTGCACCACGTAATTACTAGTCTATGGCGAAGCTGCACGGAACAAATCGCAGATGTGAGCGTGTGATTCGAAAATTGACACAAGCGATTAGTTCCAAGTATTGGCACAGGACCAGAATTGTGATGCATGTGATGTCAAGCAACACAGAAGGACGTTCCGTGTAGTGCGAACAAAGAGGTTACAAAGTGGAATGAGGTAAGAAATCTATAAAAAAAAAAATACTTTTTTTTTCTTCGCAGACCCGTATCAGACATTAGGGCCCATAAGCAGTCGGCTGGCCAACCCAGGTGAGAATCTAACCACCACGAGCTAAACCAAAAAGTATCACACAAATGAGGCCTTTACACTGTCTGCTTTGGCAACATGAGCGAGGGCTGGCACACATGCACTCAAACCTCCAAATCAAGCAACACCTGTTGTGTCAGCAGAATTGCATCACACTCAGACGAAAATCCGGCTTCCCTCTCATCGAAATGACTCTTTGCCCTGCTGTTTTCCTCACAGAAGGCCAAGCCCTCAGCTCATCCAAGAACCGAACAGCCAAACAAAATCCCTACAAGCTCCCTGACCCCAGCGCTCACAGGCCTGTGGGTAGGTTCCATCCCCGACGTCTGTCACTTACTCCAAGCCACACAGTGAAAAGGTCACATTTGGTGGAACGAATTAATTTTTTTTTTTTTTTTTAAGTTAGCGTAATGTTACTGGGACAGACTGCCGTCCACAATAAAAATTGACGGAGGCGCTGTCCAAGGTCCTGGAACTGAAATATATTTGTTTTGTTCCCCTTTATTCAAAACTCAACACACAGACGACCACATCGTCCAAACTGTTACAATCTTTTCTCCAGAGATTTAAGATGCTCATCCACAGTTCTGCCACTCGCAGTACATTTCCACCGAAGCAAGGAAGGGATTTCTTAAACATTCATTTTTCCATTCGCCCCCTCCTCTCTTTACCAGGTTCGGGGCAGATACAGCTGTGGCAGTTCCTGCTGGAGCTGCTGTCCGACAGCAACAACGCCGGCATCATCACCTGGGAGGGCACCAACGGCGAGTTCAAGATGACCGACCCGGACGAGGTGGCCAAGCGCTGGGGCGAGCGCAAGAGCAAGCCCAACATGAACTACGACAAGCTGAGCCGCGCTCTGCGCTACTACTACGACAAGAACATCATGACCAAGGTGCACGGCAAGCGCTACGCCTACAAGTTTGACTTCCAGGGCATCTCGCAGGCGCACCAGAGCCACTCGGCGGAAGGAGGGATCGTTAAGTACCAGACTGAGATGTCTTACGTCCAGCCTTACCACAGCCACCAGCCCAAAATGAACTTCATGGGCGGCCACCCCGCCCCCATGTCCGTCTCCCCCGGCAACTTCTTCAGCCCGCCGTCCCCGTACTGGAACTCACCCAGCAGTCCCATCTATCCCGGGTCAGCCATGACCAGGCATCCCACCACCCACTCCCACCTGAGCTCGTACTACTGAGCGACGGCGACGACCTTTCGAGGCCGAGCGGAACCCAGACGCACTAGAACACACATTTACTCCATCCAGGGCCGTTCCCGAGCCGAACCCCGTCTGAAACGAAGGAGGTATGACGCGAGGGGTCTGATCTTATCAGGGCGTGGTTCTTCTTTTAGTCACGTTCCTTCTTAAACATGGATAAAACCCCAGGGTTAATTAACTGCCAGGGATTGGTATCGTACGCCTCCCGAGATTTGTTATAAATATACTGATTAACGGTTATTCAAATGTTTTGAAACCAAGTTTATTTTGTAAGTACGTTGTTTGATTTGTAAAGTCATCGTCTCTACTGTGGGAGTAGCTAACGGTTTTGAAACTGGTCTTTTCGACTCTTGAAGAACTCTTGTTGAAACTGCAAATATCACATTCAATGGCCTGACATTTGTAAAAGAGAAATTGTATAGAATAATGGTTATGTAGCAATATAACATTTACTCACCATGTAAAGCTAATAAATGATGCTTGTATCTAAAAATCTTTCAGTTTCATTCACTCATTTATTAGAGAAACTCTGCTTTAAGTATGTACTTAAATTGTGATTTTGAGCTCAGAACTCAATACAACTATTCTATTCACCTGTTAAATAAATATAAGCAATAAGCATTGTCACGTTTGTTTAATCCATAGGAGATATTTAATTAAGTTTAACTATGGGGGTACTCAATAGCCAAATGGCCAGCGCAGACAGTCCCAGATTTGATTCCCCCACAATTCCTGCCTCGATCTCCAATAAATAGCATTAAACAATGAGCTTTTAAAAGACATAAGCAGAGGCAACCTTGATATTGAACAAAATATCAAAGGGATTCTAAACTTATTTTGCCATTAGCAAGAAAGTGAATTTGCTTATTTTCCAAAATAAGTGCATCTTTCATTTGGAGAAAGGATTGGGGTAGGTTCATGACAAGTCAAAAGGCAATATATCTATATATCAAAGTCTTTTTGTGTTTAATAATTCAGATAATATCTTGAAAATACGTCCCATTACCACCGACATCTGGCTGATTGTTTTAAGCTCTTCATGAGTGATGTGATGAGCCAAAAGGAATCAATTTATCACAGTAAACACATCTGCTTTATTTGTCAAAGCCAAAGATTTCTTCAAATATTGTGTGAGGTTCTAGGACCTCCTCCTCCTCCTCCTCCTCCTCCTCCTCCATCTTCTCCACCTCCTCCACCACAGCGAAGCCAGTCACCTGCTCCTCGTCACCTTCCCACTCAACCCAGGCCACTCCCTCGCCGCCGAGGAGCCACTCTGCCTCCGTGTCCTCCACCTGAACGATCTGAGCCGCTGCAATGTCCTCGGGCTGTGAGGTCATTGTACCCTCGGTCATCTCTTTTTGTGTTGTTGCTGCTGCTGCAGCTGCAGCAGCGGTGGTGGAGACCTTCTTCCTTCCTCGAGCTGCCGTGGACGTCACTTTAGGCTCTACTGTCCAGGGCCGGCTGCTGATTATTTTGGTCACTTGAAAACGTTGAATTTTTTACATTAGAATGTTACAAAAACTTTCAAGCCAGCTTCTTACATGTCAAAAAAATAATATATTTAATTTTACAGTCAGTTAATAATGAGGCAGAAGGTACGCATACAATTTCAGGGGCCATTCGCGTTCAAAAGGGACGAGGCTGTGAGATCAAAACTGTATTTGCACCAAGAAATAAGCTTCAGCGGGCTTCACAGACAAATCTTGTTAAAGTAAAGAGTTTTGGTTCCAATCTTTTTGTGTGATTAGTCGACAATATCCTTTAAAAAGGGAACAGTACGATTAGTGGTGTAAAAACACGAGGATCCGCGACTCACCCGAGGAGGCAGCAGAAGTGCAGTTGGAGTCGCAGCAGGTGCAGACCTGGTCCGACTCGTACAGCTCAACCCATCTGAGGAGAACAGAGCGGGACATCAGATTCCCTTTTGTGTCAACGGCGTTACGCCACGTTGGAAATTCTTATTTCTCGCTCAAATTTCTACCACAGAAAAGGGAAACTGACTTTCTTGTTTTGGGGTTGTAGTTGCAGGACTTTGAGGTGGGTGTGGGCACAGAGCTGTGCACCGACATGGAGCAGTGCATGTGGAGCTGCTGCGGGAGTTACAATAGGAAAACAATTTGGATTTGGACGATATTTCCAAAAAAAAAGGTTTTATGGTCTTTTAAAACATTTTAAAAAAAAGAAAAGCATTTAACTTTAAGTGTTTTTTTTTTTTTTGCTGACCTTGCCGGTCATTCCCGGGAAGAAGAAGGCATCCACAGAGAATCTCACAGCATTCCTTCTGTATGGGATGAATCTGGAGCGATTCTCCTTGCTTTCAACCATACACCTTTATCAAAGGGAGAATTAATTTACACTTCTTCTTAAATAAAATATGTATGACAATTAATATCAAGCCCTCCAGTATGTGTTTTTTTTTTTTTTTACCCATAGTTTTGCACAACTGGAAACTGAGGCGTGGAGGTGTGGGACTTCTCAGGAGTTGCGTAACAGAAGTGGACGTAGAGTCTTTTGTCCGGGGACACGGACAGAGCTTCCGCCTCAAAGTACATGGACTGCCCGAGCACGTACCGATGCGACGGAGAGAGCCTTTCCCACAGAGCTGGAGGACGGAATCAAGCAGTCGACAGGTTTTCAACAGCAGATGGAAATCAGTTGATAATAAAATACACTTTTTTGAAGGGCTTACCATTCCGAGGAGTTAGAATGAACTTTGCTCTGTTCTTCATCGGTGTGAAGATCTTGCTCAGCTGCATCTTTGGAGTGTATTCGGAGTATTGGTACCTGAACATATAAACATATTGTTCAGATTTAAGAAAACAGTTCTAACATGGCTGAGAAAACTTGAATCTTTTCTGGTCTCAATCCAGTCTCACCGGTTAAAATAACACGAAACGGGCAGGTTGAATGGCACAGCTCGCCTGATTGGTCCTTGGAGCCTTAATGGATCATATCGTAGCGTGTTTGTATAGGCCACCTGGTTATTAATTATCTGCAAACCAAAATAAACGTGGCTAACTTGATAACACCATTGTCATCAGTGAACCATTCCATGGAGCGTTATTACAATTTCTCTCTGAATAAGACATAAATGTGGTCTCAAAATGAACGACAAAGCACTAAACAGTTAGCATTAGAAAAAATGGGAAAAATATAATACCCACCAAATTATACTTTTAAAAGGGGGACTTCCGCGGCCATAGTGACGTCATCAAGTAGAGAGACAATTCTCACATATAAGATAACAGGTCTAATTGAGACCTTTCACAATTTCGCTTACTGATGCCACTTAACTGCTTTATTCTGTTAATGACTTTATTTTTCTAAATTAAACTAATTTATTCCCGAATTAATTTTTATGTTATTTATTGGTTGTATTGTTTCATTTATTGCGCTGTTTTAACGGTGTTTAAAAACTATTCCTTAGTTTTGCCTTGATCGCTGTTCACTTTGAAAACTGCTTTTAAAAAGTTGTTCTATAAATAGTATTTTTATTTGTATTACCAAAATGTGTGGGATTTATGTCTCAATCCAGATTGGTGCCACTCCATCGGGTCCAACACGGTTAGCTTGTTAGCAGGCTTAAAACATGCTAACATGTCGTTAACGTAGCGGAGAAACATAAGCACGTCGCTCGAGCTCACCGTGCGTTTGGTTCCACACATGTCATGGTCATATTCAAAGTAAAGGTAATCCCTCTCGGATCCACTGGGACGGCACGTCCCAAGTTTGAGGCGAGACCCCCGTTCCCCGGTCCCCAAGATGCTCCTCCGCACCTGTACGAGCATCTTGTTGCGCTCGCACGAAGTCTTCACGGAAACACCCGAAGCTGCGGGTTGACTCGTGTTAGCCCGAGCCGGGGACAGAGGCCCGAGGACGGGCTCGGTGGTCCGAAGCTTCCGTCCGGTGGCTCTGAACGGACGGTGCCGCTCCTTCTCTACTGTCCCCGGGGGCGACCTGGAGTCCAGGAACACCGGGAGGTGGACGTACGGTGGCGGCAGAGTCGGCGTGTCGCTCCGGGAAACTTTTCTCATCACCTGAGGCGTTTGTTTAAATGCTGTTGTTGCTGTTGTTGTTGTTTCTCCATTAGCGGAGGACAACAGCGGCAGCGTGAACAGCAGTAACGGATAAATCATGCCGTCTAGTCTTTATTTTTTACAGTCAAATCTATCTTATCTGAAGGGTATTATCACCGAGGATGTTCTCCTTAGGTGGGGCCCAATCAACAGCACCTGATAAAGGAGCCGTCGTGCGGAAACAAAATGGCGACGCTCAGCGGTTGAGAAAGAACCAGCATGGCCGAATCTCAATACTGTGTTAATACAGCGGGACAATTCATTTGGGATTCACAATACAATAGTTGTTTCTCAAATATCTTATGCTTTACTTTGTTAAAATCTGTATGTGATTTTGCTTGTTACACTGAATTTTTCTTATTCTGTACCTATTTTGGTGGAGTCATATCCCTTTCAGTAGAGGATTTAAGGACAAAGGGTAAATATGACTAGTAGGAACCTATAGAAATTGAGGCAAATTAACTGGTAAGTGGATAGCAGTAGTTTATTTTCTAGGTTAGAATCAAATTATCTTGCATTCATTCACTTTCCACTCTGAAAACACCTGACACATGTGAGCAATAATAAGATAACGTGTATATTTTTTCCGTCTCACAAACCACCGACCGGGTTGGTTCCCTGCGTCTGTGGTACGTGGGGTCTAATACCTTAAGACAATCCACAGATCCACACCGTAATAACCCCTATGGGACAATGCTTATTATAACTTCAGGACTTTATCTCCACATAATCACAAGTAAGCATCGGGCCTACTTTTCACAAGCCACACATCCGGCATTTTTCAGACCGACAAATACGGAGAAAACGGACCTTTCTGTGTCCGTACCGATCTGTCAGCAACAGAGCTTCCGAGAAATGTTCATCATGATAGGTCCGTTAGCCTTGTGTAATTATCCAATGTTAGTAAAATAATCTGCTTCTATCCATCCAAACATTTCGAGCAGTGACGTTATAACATCTCAAAACCACTGGATTACCTTTGCGTTAAACAAGAGCGCTTTACAGAATTGATGACATCAGTACATCAGAGGGCAAACTGCCCTTCATATTAGTTACATTGCTTCTCCTCCACATTTCTCTTTAATTCACCAAGCTTGAGTATGAAAGAAGAAGCGTGAGCAGCGTGCCGGCCCCGTAGGGGGTCGGCGTCCCCGCGGCGTGGTTGCACAGGTGTGTGTCGCAGCATTCGTTGGTGAAGGTGAAGTTGAGTCCCATGGTGTATTTTTCTCCTGTGATTCCACACAGGGACGTCAGTACGCAGCTCTTCTCGTACAACACAACGCGGAAGTCCCCTTTAAAAAAAAAAAATCAGAAAACATCAGTTCATTTTTCTTATTTTTGTCAATTTTGTTCGGTTTACTCATTCACCTTTCTGGCCCACGGCTCGGCTGGACAGACAGACCTGCCCGGGGGGGCACTTGAGGGGGAATCGGATGCAGTCCAGAGGGGAGATGGCGGGGAAGACGCAGGTGTAACAGAAGAGGGTAACTGAAGGACGGGCCACGCAATTTATCAAGAGTTTAGTTTTGCAGTTGACCTTAAATTATGATCCAAGAACAGGACCAAACCGTACCATCCGTTGCTCAATGGAGATGGGTTTTGTGATCTTATATCCTCAGGAGATGAGGCATTTAAAGACATCAGCTCAGAAAACCAAGAGGCAAAAGTAGGATCTATTTTCTTCAGACTGAAGGGCCACTCAATCAGTTCATTGGGGAAAACAATACCCAGATTAATATGCTAAAAATAACCAATCTGTTGTTCTCTCACACACACACACACACACACACACACACACACACACAGTTGTAATGTTCACTTACCAACAGCAGAAGGTAAACAAAGGAGGAGCAGAGGGCAAACCAGCTTCGACATTATTCACCGGCAAAACGCTTTAAGCTTGAATTTTCAGCTCTTTGTTTTATTCTAGAATAAACTAGTGGTTTTTATCCCAACCGCGATTAATTCTCCATCTTTGCAGAAAAGGTTAAAAGTGCTCTCTGGGCTTTTTCAGAGCCTCCTCAGCCGGCTGCAGAGATCCGATGAGAAATGTCCTCTGGTGTCTCTTGATATTCTGCTCCCAAGAATCTCCACACCCAAACGTATGATCCAATTATGACTTTACAGAGAATAGCCCCATTCAGTCTAGAAAGAGACAGGGCTTTTGTGAAGGAACCACACTCAGTTAAAAAAACACGTAAAATGTCCATGTCTTTCATACGGTACCGATTTATACAAGACATGTGGCGTTTGCTTTATTGAATCAGGTCTTATTTCTTAATGAAAGACGGTGAGTTGGGAAGCAGGGCGGTCAGGTGACATGCAGTCCCATGACTAAATATCTGAGGGTGGGACCTTTGTGGATTTCTGTTGACAAAAAGGCTTCTCAACGGTAATACTTTTGTTTTATAAGTAAATACATTGGTTTTAGTGACAAATCTCTACACTACTTCTTGCATTTATTTCGTTGAACTGTATAAAAGACCATTGTTCATCCCAACGGATGATCGAGTTCAGCTCTTTTGGTCTCTACTTACCAAACACAAGGGTTTCCCTTTATTTAAAAATGTAAAGGGATTATTTAGAATTTATGTAAAGGGAAACCCCAGATCAAGCGGACATCATATTTCCTCTTTCTAATAATATATAATACAATTTGATTAGAAAAACAGCTTATAAACCTTCCATTGTCTGGTGCAGTTTGAAATTCCATTTCATTGAAATTCTATATTTTTACATGAGACAAGACAATTGATGGATTTTTTGTTAAAATAAAAATGCACTTTCGGAAATAGCGCAATCATAAATTCTGCAATAGTTAAAGAAATAACAGCGTCAAAAGACATGAGTACTTTGGATCAGAGTTTTAATTCTCTTGAGCTACAAAAAAGAAAAAAAGTTTCTAAGTGAAGTCCGACACTAACAACACAAAACATGTAGACAATTAAGATAAAGTAAGAAGTACAAAAAAAAGTGACCTAAAAGCAGAAAAGGGGTTAAAAATATGAATTTTATACTTCCCGTCAAGAGTGCTGTGATAGCTTCATAAACAAACTGAGAAAGAGAAACCGGAAATATACTTAGATTTAAAGCAATGTCAGCAGAACAGCAACTCAGGATCGACAAACAATTGCCACATTCAGAAAGATTTATCAGCAATCCCGCTGTGCAAAATCACATTCCATCCCTGCCTGAACAGACCTATTAGATAAAAAATAAATACAGTAATCGGCTGATTTGCAAATAAAGTATAAACATCCAGTTCTCTCCACCGAAAACAATCTGGTTGTTTGACTCAAGTCTGAAAATACTGAGTCGCTCCAGAAAATCAAGTAATAACGTGGAAAATTGCCCCAAAAAGCAAACCTCTAAAATGTAGCGGGATAAATATTAAATAGACGTAATGTCCACCACTGTAATGCTGGAGAGGCTCAAAGTCGGTGCAGAAAGTGCAAACAGTAATCTTGGTCCTCGGTGTGTCCGGTCGGAGAGTCGTCCTCCCTCACAGGGCGTGCTGGACGGCGGTCAGATGTTCTGCAGGTTCTGCTGCAGCTCCACGAACAAACCGTCACGATTCTCGGCGTCCAACAGGATTTGCTACGCCGAAAGAAAACATTAAAAGATGTTGGTTATTGTCACAAAATATTCATGACGTTTTTTCATTTTTGTAGCGTGTCCTTGATTATGAACATGACATGTATTATTTCTGTGGGGACACAGAAAGGTTGGGCTAACTAATTTCATAAGTTAGTAGTTATTTTATGGTTAGCATTCATTTTAGTTAGTTTTAGCTCTTAAGATATTGGTAGTTAGTTACTTTTTATTTAGGTATTTTGTCTGCATGTAAAGACATTTTAAGTCACTTCTTCAATTGAATGCATTTATTCTCTCATTTGGCGCCTCGGGAATGAAGAAAGGGGAACATGGATTAACGGGCAATTTGTTGCGTATATCTGAATGTATTTTGTCACAATATAAATATTCTGCATTTTTAATAAATAAAATGTCTACTCTCATAGTTGACATGGCTAGTTGGTCAAAACGGAAACGGTGGCATCAAACCAACATGGCCGATGTGTTGTGGGTATCGAGACAACAAGCATTTGATTCTCTGCACTTTACCTCGATGAGTCGGTCTCTCTTCTCCAGACTGTCCCTCAGTTTCCGCTGCTCTCTGTCTCGGTCCTCCCTGTCGTTCCGCCCGGTTCTGTCCGCCTCCTTCTTCTCCTTCTCTTTTGCCCTCAGCTCTCGCCGAGTCTCCCCAAGTTCATCCCTCAGAGAGGACACCGTCTGACTGTGGCTCGCCTGCTGATTCTGGGGAAGGAGGAGAAAAACCCCACTATGAAACTTAAAATATAAAAACATTGTCCAACACGACCACAGGTGTGGATTTGAACCTAAAGACATTTATTTTAGAATGACTTTCATTGGGGAAGCTGAAGCCATAAAGATTTTGGAATATTATTTTTACAACTTGACTGAAACCATCAATCAAAATGTCTGCTCTTAGTTAGTAGTTTATCTGTTTTGGATGTACTTCACAATAAAAACTGCAGTATAAAAGTCTTAAATCATTCAAAAGTGTGTGCAACATTTAAAATTAATCCCATTCTTTAGTCAGAATGTATGGGCTCCTTTTTAGCCTTTTTATATAGTTTCTCTCAATTGTAACCAACTTTCAAATCCCCTCCTCATGCCAATACCTCACCTGCACCATGTCCTGGTACTCCTGCAGGGCTGTGGTGAGTTTGGTGACCTCGGTGCACAAGGTGGCGCCATTTCCCTCCACGTCTCCAGCAAACCCCTGACCAATCAGATTCAGAGACAGCGTGGAGGAAAATTACATACCCTCATTTAATAGTACAGAGAAAATGAAACTCTGCAACTCTATTTCAAAAAAGCAGAAGACATTAAATGAACCACCGTGTCCCTTGAAAAGTGAGAGAGAGAAACAGGCTCCTCGCATTCCAGCCAGGAATGACACCTGGTACATTACCTGCCCGCCTTTCTGAGAGCTGACCAGCTCCCGGATCAAAGCCTCCTTCTCCTGCAGCACGGCGGCGAGGGCGTGTTCCCTCTGCCTCCACACCTCCCGCTTTTTCTCCACCTCCTTCAGCAGAGACTCCTTCTCCTCCAGAGACACTCGCAGGTCCTGGAGAGAAAAGACAAAAACAAATACAGAGGGGCATGTAGTAAAAATGGGTTTTGAACTGCGTGGCATTCATTTCCATCATCTAGTTAATTCGTACGTTGAGAATATCCCGGTTGCACTGCAGCACGGCGTTGAGCGTGTCCAGGTCTCCCTCTCGGTCTCTTCCGGCCTTTCGCAGTGCCTCGATCTCGCTCGCCAAGCTCCGCTCCTTCTCAGTCGCTTCAGAAGTCAGAGTCTGCAGCGCGGCCTGCAGATTGCAACGCAGATGATCGATTTAGATCGAAATAGCTGCACAGCTGAAACCGTTTATCTGGTGGTCAGAAAAAGCATCGCCAAGCTTTTGATAATCCAATGATCAAACAAAGAATGTGTTGTTATGTGCCTTTAAAACCCCCCCAAAAAAAACACACTTTTTTCAGTGATTCCATGAAACGTTTAAAATTAAAAAAGGAAAATAGTCGTACTGGCTGTGGTCACCATGGTAACTCCTTTTCTGCTGCCCGGGGCAAGGCCTGCGAACATCTGGTTTAATGACCTCACTGTTATGATGCAACACTATGTGTGCCATGATTGCTGGTAAACCAAACTCAGGAATGCTGCTAAGTTATAAAAGGAGCATTTACTGCGTAATGCTGCCTACACATTAACTGTCAGAGCAGGGCTTCTGCAGGTTCCATCAAGCTCAACTAAGTATAGTAACTTACAGAATTCAAGGTCATAGCGGCCAAATTATGATTGATTTAATGGGAAACCAGGAACAATATAGCCCATCGTTTTTAGGTATCCCTCAGACGTATAAAACAATAGTTTAATGATAGAAATAAATAATGGAACATAAACCTAATTTAACAAACGGAAATATGATCAATATTTCAAAGCGGTCTAAAAGCAATACAGTGTTTGCCCTGGGTTTACAACCTCAGGGGGGGCGTGCGCCCCCGTTATAGATGGTAGGGGAAACACTGCAATAGTCAGGTGGTAATTTTCTGTCCCGTTAACATCCAAAATCATCATTGGTTAATTAAAACAGTGTTTGATGGCAGCCATCTCCGTTCTTCAGAGCCGGAGGAAATTGCTGACACGCTACAACTAGACTAGTAAAACCTCCTAAAGGCCTGAGGTAAGATTAAATACAACTCAGACGCTACGGTGCTTCAGCGAGAGGGTAATGTGTGTCATCATACGTAGACGAAGCAGTAAGCACGTCAATAATCGGGCAGGAGGACCGGGCCGGCTCTTGCCTTGTCGTTGGATTGAGTTTCCTTCAGATACTCCGTCAGCTTGTTGGCCAGCTCCACCCCTGCTCCGTCCTCAACACTCAGTCTTCTGATCAGACCCACAACCTCCTGGAAGAGAAGAAACATCGGTCTGCTTAAACACAGTCAGCCAACAGATGTAAAGCTCATCCAAGTACAGATTGGTGTAAGAGCCAAGCACAAATCAATAGATGAGGCCACAACGAGCTCACTGCCAGAGGCCAGAGCCGAGCTGATATGTAAAGGAGAACCACCGCAGACATCATAAATCATAAATCTCCCTACTCGTTGGCTCGGTTTATCAGCTCGCCGACTGACACATCATATTGTGTTAATGTTACGTTTTAACTCGGCTGACGTGAAACCACACGCCGAAGTGCAACAGGGACTCGGTGTTGCACTTCTACCTGTGGTAATTGTTGAGTCACTTATTGATAATCTTCAATAGGCTGTGGTCCATTCAAGCGCCCTCTCGTCCTCGAGTCGTCTACCACGTAGGGAGAAAAACCTCCGGCGTCACCGACGCTGTCGCTTTAAGGGCGTTGCAGGGACTTCACAGACAAACAACATTCCTGTGAGCTTTGCGGTGCCGGCGCCCCCCCCTCCACCCATGTGCATGACCGGCTCCCGTCTCCCCTGATCACCTCACCCACCTGGATCACCCGCTCCCGGCTGTGCAAGGAGCGACCGAGGCTCTGCAGGAGGGCACCGCCGCCGCCCTCCTTCTCCTCGGCCTCCTGGAGCGACTGCAGAAAAAATTTAATAAATATTTTTAAAAACATCAAACTGTGACTGAATCAATAGAACACAGTAATCTATATCCCATAATAAAGAAGATGCTGCCGCAACGAATTACTTTAATCAGAAAAATCTTGTATGTCAAACCCCAAAACATCACATTTACTACGACTCAAGATAAAAAGAACGAATGCCGGTTTAACAGTCATAGCAGATGTTTGTGATCGTCGCTGTAAAACAACCTGTTTGTAAAGTCATTAATTTGAAAGGTTTTGAACATTATGAATTTGAATGTGATAAAAATATCCAAAGATGAACAGATAATGCTGCTAATAGCTTTCTATAAATACTCAATCCATGTTTACTAGAGGCGGTAATCAGGAAATCCCCAAATGCATATTTCAGAGAGATTATTTTGTTGCAGCTTCTCCTCTCGAAGCCAAACCGTTGAGTCACACATTAAAAGCACTTTAGTAGGTTGGTGCTGCTTTTGAGTTGGTCCAAACTGAAGCACATTTATGACGGGTGTCAAGCTCAGACCTTCCACTGAGCAGGATACGTTTTCATTAGTGATTTAGTTTAATAGTTTAAGTGATATCCTGTTTTAGGACTACAGAGCCCCGGGCATACTCCACCGGTCGGCAAGGATTCCAGAGAGAGGCTGTGTGTGTGTGTGTCTCTTTATCTGCTTCTGTAAATGAGGACACACAGACACACCCTTGCAGGGAGAAAAGTACACCCACCCTCCATTCCTTTCTCAACGCTGTATTTGTGCAACGCATACATCCGCAGTCGTTATGTCACGTGACTTGTAATGTAGCACAAAGTAAATTAACCAGTTTTTTTGCGTAAGTGATTAAGTCGCTTGTGTCAAACTACTTTTTCAACACCTGATCCTCCTCCTCTAAGTGGAATGTGAGAAGACAAACTGGATACTTACAGGGATCCCGTTGTGTGATCCATTGATTTCAGATTTGTGGCCCTCCAGCTGGCCTCGCAGGTGCCTGACAGCGTGGTGAACCCTGCCAGAGGAGCCCTGAAAGGATTCGGTTGTTGTTTTACTGAGTGAAATGTGTAGCTCTGACGGTTTACTGATTACCTGTTGCAGCACACTGAGTCAATATTTAAAAGACACACAGAGCATCTGGTCAGAGTCCTATTTGTATTAAGTGGTGTTGAAATGGTGGAGAGCGTGGGGAAAGAGGAAGGCAAACACTCACAACTCGATGAAGAGGCACAAACTCGTCACTCAGCTGCGCGTCCTCCCCGTCCACGTCCCCCGCTCCGTTCTCCCAAACACCCCCAAAGCGCAGCGCCCGGTTCACCGAAGGAGACCCCACGCCTCCGCCCGCGCCCGAGTGCTTCCTGTCCAGAACCGGGATCTTGCTCCCCGACGGCGAGCAGACCGGCGTTCCCTCAATGCCCCGCAGCTCCATCAACCAGAAGTTTGTGGAGCGCACGCCCGGCGGGTCGAACGGGTCGTTGCCGTCGAGGGAGTCCAGCGAGTGGACAGACTCTGTGCGGGAGGACGTCTGCAGGGACAGGGTGGACCCCGCCGGCGAGGAAGGGTCAGAGCCGAGGGACGTCACCCTGTGCCAGTGAAGGGGCATGCTCTGGGACCTGTCGCGCGACAGCGCCAACGGCGAGAAGGGCTGGAGGGGCAAGCGGCGAGGGACGCCGCACACCGACTCGTAGTCCGAGTCGGACACCCGCAGGGAGTCGCAGCCCTCGCAGCCTTTTCCATTTCTGCACCTCTTCCCCGTCCTTGTGAAATACGGGCACGCGTCCCACTTCTCGGACCAGCACTCGTACGCCGAGAGCGCCATGTTCTCCTTGAGCATCTCCCTGTAGCCCTCCTTCTCCGCCTCGCCGCCGTCCTCCTCGCTGGTGCTGCCGCCCCCGCTGCGGACGTCCCCCGGGTGTCTCTGGTAGTAGTTCTGGCGCACCCACTGCCTGACCTTGTCCCTCTCCTGCGTCAGTTTCTGCAGCCTCTCTGACGAGAGCACCCGCACCCGGGCGATCACCGAGTCGAACTTGAAGACCCGCTCCAGGACGCTCACGCATTTGCCGCACACAAACTCCCCCCGCCCGCCGCCTCGGGGGACGGGCCGCCCGAGGATGTGGGTCAAAATGGCGAGCGGGTCCGCGGCTTTGGACGGGGAGCTGAGGGACAGCTGGGAGAGGGACACGGACGAACCTAGGGACACCGTGCTGCCTGCGGCGAGAGAAGGAGAGCTCACTCACTGGAACTACTTCCTGACTTCATCGTAGCGCGGCGGAGGCGGACTCACCCCAGGGGCTGCTCTGCGAGGACCGGGACGAGCCTCCTCCTACTCTCAGGGACCCCGTCGGGGTATGAGCCCCACCGGCCTTCCTGTTTTGGGCACCAAACAGCCATCGCCTCTGGTTTCCCTGCAGAGCTCCGCCACATATTTGGCACGAGTCCTGCTTACCTCTGGAGGACATGGTGGACTCCACCCAACTCACACTTGTCCAGGTAGATGTTGGAAATCTTCTGTGAATTAAAAGCAGAAAAAAGGGATGAGTTTACAGACCAAATATAATACAATTTTACTATTATTATAAATATATTATTTTACCTCTTTAGGTCACCAAAATGAGTTAAAGTAATAATAAAACAAGATCAGTCCCAAAGTTTTCTATGCTGGATGTGAGAACTGAGATATATCTTAGAGGTGAATATTGAAACAAAGGTCCTTCTCAGTGTGACCTCCCCATCGGAGGCGTATTATGTCTCCACGCGCCTGTTTGCCCTTAAAATAGTCTTTTAACAACCACCAAGTCACTCTTTCCAGGTGTGTAGACACATCTGCGCAGCTCTCCTAGCCGGTCCACTGGCGCTCTGTTTGCGGAAGCTTCCCACAGGGCGGGACACGTCGACCTCGAGCCACGCTGACAGTGAACCCAGTCAGCCCGCCGGTGAACGTCTCTCTCGCTCTCTCTCTCACTGTTTCTCTCTGTCTCTCTGGAACGTTCAGCCGCGCCGGGCGCGTGACGCACACTCGCTCATTTCACCCGTTTGAAGACTACTCACCGTGGGCTTATGGTGAAAGTGTCGTTGACAGGAGAAAACCAGGAATTAGACGCATACGCGTAATAGGTTGCACATACCCACGACTTTTGACCGGTTCGATTCAACGTTTAAAAGTTGTTTGTTTGTTTTCTTCCGGGAATCGCAAACGGCAGAGAGAGAAAAGCTTTCGCCGGGCATGCGGGACACCAGCCGAGCGGCGGCGGGTCTGGGAGGTACTCGGAGCCCCGCAGAGTCGCGGGAGAAGAACCGTCCCCCGGTTCGGACTTCACGCGCGCACAAACACACACACACAACTAACGTGAGCTCTCCACGTACAGCGGTTTAGGAAAAAAAAAAGTTTCTTACGTGAAAGTCTCCGTCGGGAGCTGAGCTCGCGGCGAACGAAGAGAGGATGGTGTCACCTTGCTGACGTCACGGCTCACACCTGTTTGGAGTGGCGCGGGCACGCGGTGAGCGCGAGCAGGGGCGGTTCGAGAATAAAAATCGGGGCCTTGTTAATCAATCTGGCCGTGAGGGTGTTTCTGTAAAAGGGGCGGGGTTTGCTGCATGCGGACCAATCACAGGCGTGGACACGTATGTCAGCGGCAGTGCGGTGGATTCATAAATAGAAAAAAAAGGTAAAATATCAATATGAAAGAGGTTTAAACACACATCGCAGCCTGAAAGTAACAGTTTATGCCCCTAGTAAAAAAAAGGAACGACACATGGAACAGTGCAGACTCTGTAAATAAATATTTATTATACTTTCTTCAGAAATAACAGTTATAGTCATATATAGTTTACTGTAATTCTGACTTTAAAGTCACTTTTGTTCTATTGCTTCATTAATCCATAACTCATCTGCTATGAATTTGGACAATCAATATGTTTAATTGATTGACACCCCCACCCCCCCCCTCCATACGCTGCTTTATGCTTTTCTTGTGGGCAAGAAGGGCGAAACGTGCACTCTACAGTCAGTGAGCATCATCAGCGCACACTTCAGAACATCAACAATGAAACAGGACCATTATTGATCAAACTGAAAGGATTCAAATACAAAAACTTGGTATCTTTGAAAATGTACAGCTTTTATTGAGAGTACTTCTTTAGCTGTTTATTTGAACTCAAGTCTGTGGTCAGTTTTGAGGCTCTTCGTGGTTTTAGTACTTAAACTTAAGTGCTTCTGATTTGTGTTAATGTACCAAAGCACCGCATTTCTGTCAGTATTAAAGGATCAATTATTTCCAAGTTACGTGATGCATAAACATCACTGTTGAATCTCTCCATTAAGTTTCCAGGCAAAGAGCGGAGGACAGGTGAGTCTTCCTTTACGCTCCGGAGTATCATGAACCTCCACCAGAGGGAGACGAGCGATCGGCCAATGCTCATTTAGCGATCACCACAAAGCCAACTCATTGGGCCACTTCAGACCATCACTTAATTTCCAATATTTTCAGGAGTGAGGGGTTCAAAAAATAAATAAAAAAACATGCTGATTCCAAAGCAAATCTCATGAAAGACTTTCTCACATAATTATTTCAAGATATCCAATGTTTTACAATAAATATCCAAATAACAATCTTTTCAATTGGTCCTCACAGTACCGACAATGTTGACGTGGCCCCAATAATAATAATTGGAATAAAACATTAGAAGAATAGGTCCTCGGCTCCGACTAAGCCGATGCTCGGGCCCTAAATACTAATAAAGATAATTCCTGTGTTTGTTTTCCCTATTAGTGGCCTACTTGTGATTGGTTTTGTAAAAAAGACTGAAGAGCTGTCAGGTGTCACCGCTGTGCAGCGGCCCGAGTGTCCTGGTTATGTTTGTGGAAAAAGGCTTTGCCAAATTCATAAGTGCTGATCATAATGGCGCAGGCTGGGGCCACTTTGATCAACCTCGGGAGGAAACCTGGCAGAGACAACACAAGAGGAGTGATCACATGCCATGTACTTAGGTGTAATACCATTATATAAAAGACATCAATAAAGTATCTACCTGCAAACATTGCGCCAAAGCCGTCCTGCGCCACAATCCTGCTCATCATGCTGAAGGTGGAGGAGACCTGACACGACACTGATGAGACAAAGATAACATTATAGTGTGAATGTGTTGATATGAACTGAATTAATCTCTTAAGTTAATACACCCCCCACCGCACATCGCCTTTAGAATCTTATTCCACGCTGTATGACAGCATCACAAGAACAGGTTTTTTTCTGTGCTTGTTCCAGCTCTTTAGAGGTTTATAATGTTGACACTGGATAAAGAATAATGGCATAATTACAGTTCTTTGCTTGCAGCTCTCCAAGCTCCACCTGCCTTCTGGTTTTAACAACGTCAAAAGGTAACGTTACAATGGATGCGATCTGAAAGAAGCGGAAACGTGTGTAAATCAATATTTATGTTTACTCATGAAGTTTTTCTACGGGTTGAAAGGCTGCATGCTGACTGATGCACTTACAGCGCCAGAAACCGCTCCAGATACGAAGGTCACCGTGAACGTTGGTTCCGTGGTGTTGTATCGTTGACACAGCCAGCTCTTGCCCTTCTCGTAGTTGTACCAGTACATGGCTGAAAAGGGCACGTCTCGGAACAGCGTGGGCCCCAAACCTCGCCACAGAGAGCGCCAGCCCTCCGTCTGCACTGCAGCCCGGATGCAGTCAGTCAGCTCCCTGTACGACTGTTTCTGAGACTGCAGCTTGGTGCGGATCAGCTCCAGGGGGCTGATCACTGTCGCTGAACCCACTGATGCACAAACACACACACACAAAGTGGGGAGAAAAAAATCAAAATATCCTCATCTGCTGCTGGACAGAGGAGAAAACATGAAAGCCCACTAGGGGACATTGGTGGAGCATTTGGATCGACTCGAAGTGTACATCTTTATGAGGGACTATCAAGCTATTTCTAGTCTAGCGATGCCAGCCAGATTACCTCTAGCGATAGCTCCTGCCAGAAGAGGAGCCTCCTGAGCAAAGTCCCCCATCCTGATTCGCAGAGCTACACACAGCTGGTCGTAGCACGTAAAGTAGATTACTGTCGCAGGGACAGCCATCACGCTGGAAAACAAACATTTATTAAGTAGATTATTTCAAGTAGGGATCATTTAACCCACATGAACCACACCAATACATTCATTAACAATGTGATTAAGAAAAAGAAAATTCCATTAAGATAATACTTAACACAAGTCAGTCTTTGGTTATCAACCCTCAAGACCAACTGTCAACCAACTACATATGTTCTATATAACTGGCCACTGGGAGGAGAGCAGGAAGGATGACGTGTAGCAAGAGAAGAAGAGAGACGCAGGAGACTTCACACTCACAGGGTCGGAGGTAGACCGCTCCATAAAGCCTTTATCCCTTCGTGGCGAACTATCTTGACAAAGGCATCCTGCAGGGAGGCAGTGTTTGAAGTCAGTGGAAGTAGTGTGCACTTGTCTGACTTTTAACTTTTATATTGAATTTGGGTAACGAGTGGAATGGGAAGTGGGAGTGGTCACCACTGTGCCGTTGAAGTGACTGGGGGCTTTGTACCAGGCCTTGGAGTTGCCGTTTTCACACACACATATGTGGTCCATTAGTCCGTTGCAGTAGACAAAGCATTTCCCTGAAAGATATCGGAATAAATGAATGTGGTCATTGCATTCATCAGAATACACAGACAGGCAGTTGATAATCATAATACCTTTGGGAAAGGGAGTTTTCTGTGCTTGCAGTCTGGTCTTCACAACATCCAAAGGTGTTACTGAAAAAAGGAGAATTTGAAATGAGCCTCCATGAATGAAATTCGATATACTGTAAAGATTTTGGAAAATGTGAGGTCTCTACAAAATGGAAATGTTCTGTACCTGTAGTACACCAATGCTTGTTTGTGTATTACGCTGCTGGTAAAGTTTTACTATGTGTATTTAACAAGGTTGCAGCCTGTACAATGGTTTCATAATGTACTGAATTGAGTATAAAAGACTGTGGAAGGTAGAAGAAAACAAAGATCGAGAGACAACTTTACAGAAGAAGGAAAGCAGTCGAGTTGGCAGTGTTCCTTGAGTGTTTCATTGTTGTTGAAGGGTCGAGGGGAAGTATGGTGACGTATGTTTGTGTTGTATTTTTTGTGTGCGTGCTTTAATGCTCGAGTCTGTTAGTGTGTACGGCTGGCAGTTGTGTGCTGCAGCCGATGAAAACTGAAAATAACTCAACTCAAACCCTACACATGCCAGATGAATAGCCTCTGGCATCTCACCTAACAAGGACGTGAGGATGGCTCCGGAGCAGGACGCCACCATCTGTTGAAATGGAGTAATGCCATTCGAGGCTGGCGCCTCTGGACTTTGAACACTCATTCTTAAAAACAAAACAGAGAGATACAGTTTGTATAATATGTAACGTTATAACGTTATGACAGTTTCCATGTAAATAACGACATTATGAAACGTATTCGCCAAAGGGACAAGCGATAAATTAATTGACGGTAAATGAAATGGAAGTAAGGTTATACGATGTCACTGGGGTTGTAACGTTTACATTGGGGAGAGAGCTGTCTAGCTAACCTTAAGTAACGTTAGTTACTTCTTACCTGCTACTCCGCTTTGAGATCTGCGATGTCTCTCATTAAGAAGCACATCACACTCAGAGTTCAGAGTTTCCTGAAAGTAGGACAGTTAATGAATTACAGGTCCCATTGGAAAGCACGCGTGTGTGCTCAGGAAGCTGCGATCATAGCCAGCCGCTTCGTTTACCCAGCTAACACACGGGAAAACAGGTTACATGTTGACATTTACCTATATATTCCAGGGGCACTTTCAGCAGAGCACATTCTTGAGAATTTCCGAAACGTATGTAATCAATAAAATGCGTTTTAAGATGTATAAAAAAATTACACAAATATTTAGTTAACATCATGTTGTAAATACAAACATTTGTGCCATGAGTTTTTATTCAACGTTTTCTTTTTTTCGTTCTTTTGTTAAGGTAATGTCGAAACATCACATTCAAACTCAAAGGTAGGTTTTACTTATTCCTACTGTTGCCAGGGTTGAAAAGTTTCCGTAAAAGTGGAAAGGACGACAGAAGATTACCGTCCTTGGTAAACGAAAGCCTTTGTACCCAACTTGTCTTAGTTATAAAAAAACTGACGGGAGTTTATGTTTGGTCCGGAATGAATTTAAACATGACGGGGATTACGTGAACCGCTATTATCAAACATGGCAACGTAGACTTCCCATACTATTGTATTCAACGTAATAGCGGGAAAGAGACGTTTCTCTGAGGCAGTGACCCAGTAAACTGACTAGTGAGTGTGTCTAAATAGTTCTAAAATATCCTGCCTCTGCATACTTTGTTGTTGTGTATTATCATTTTTGTTATAATGACTTATTTTGAGCATAGTAGCTAACCGTCAAAGCTGCCCGTTTGTTCGCCAGGAAACGACACACAAAAGTTAGCGGTGAGAAGGTGAATTAAAGTTAACTCGCAGTATACGCTGGTCAATTGAGAAGCAATGACTACTAACTAATATTAGGCTAACGCTGCTTTTGAAATGTGGTAGTTTTCAGAACCCAGATTCTCTTGCAACGTGTCTTTGTAAACATCACCGTGCTTTGTTTACACACACAGGACAAACAAGTGCTTCGAGGGGCACGTTGACTCAAGACTGGTGGGCAAAACAAAATGCAATAGAATAAAATGAAGCCGAAACGCATCCAGAGACAAACAAGACCCAAATGGCAAGGTACGTTCATGTCATTTAACGCCACCTTGTTACACTGGACTGTTTTTGTTTTCCGTGTTTTCGAGTTGACGTTTAGCTACACGTGAACCGCGAGCTAACAACGATTAGCGTTACCTTGATAGTGTAAGAATACGTGTTCAAGATTTGGAGCCTGGTCGGGGTTATCAAAAATTCAGCCGAACGACTTCTCTCGTTCTGGGAAATGTATTTGTCAGATCACAGGTCAAGTATCAGCGCTGCGTTTGCAAAGGCAGGAGCAGTTCAGGCAGCACACAGGCCGGGAGAACAACTCACTAACATCAGCAAGAACATCATGTTTTATAACCCTTGAAAGACAGAGAAGGAAATATTTCTATTGGCCCTAAACTGGCGTAGAGGAGGACCTTCCACCTCCGGTCACATCCAATGTCCAGACTCCTGACTTAACGTAAACATCAGCGAACAGAGTGTGTATGTTGAATAGTGTTGGTGTGTCTCTAACCCCCCTTTGGCTGGTAAATCTGCTAGTTGACCCGCAGACCTTACATTCCTCAGCCAGGACATAAACTGACTCCCCATCCTGTCAGACTCGTGTCTGCCTGCTTGGCACCCAACTCTTAAATCAAGACAAGACAGCAAACCCCCAACTAAGCCCACGAAAAGAACTTTTGATTATCAATAGGTGACGTCATGAAACGTTCATTGAGGTTGTTGTTTATCTATAAATCAGACAGATGACGTTACTTTTAATGAAATGTAATGTGTAGCGACTATCTTCCCGTGAAGACTGCGTTAATGTCGATTGAGATCAAAAACAAAACGTTGCAGTCGCAAAGGCATTTTGACCAGCTGCTCAAAGAAAAACACAGCTGATCTTTGTTTTTTTTTAGGTTACCATTAAAAGTTTTGGTATTTGATTGGGCGAACGACCCAATTCATGATCAGTCAGTAATTAAAATGAATAGTTTCAAGCGATGCATCAGAACTTCCCTCCCTCATCCTGTTGTAATTGCTTCGGTAGGGAAAGGGCTCAGCAGTGGGGACAAAGCCATGCTGAGTCAATCGAAGCCAACATGTGTGACCGCTGCTGTCCAAGTCAAACCTTTTGCTGGGAAAGTGTTTTACCTGGACCTGCCGTCAAACAGGATAGCGGACATATTGGAGAGTGACATCGGATACCTGGGAGGGGTGAGAGAGAACGTGGTTTTATGTTCAGAATGGTTTGAGTGTTTTGTCATTTGTCCTGTGCCGGCTTGACATAGACAAGTAGTTACAGGGTTATTCACAGCAAGCAATGTTATATTTTCCCACTCAGTTCTGCTGCCTTTGTTAGGATTCAGTCCCAGACAGCTTCTTCCTCTGCATTTGATGGAGTCTGACTTTTTTGTTTGGTAGCACAGAACAATACAATTTGTATAATTAGAACATTGGTTTTCCCAGTAATGTTACCTATAGAAAAAGGCTACTTCTTGCCTTCGGATAAAATAAGTGCTGTTTCTAGCTTGACATTTTAAAATATTAGTAGCATAGATAACATCTGAATAGGAAACAGTAAATGAGATTACAAATCAGATTTATAAGATATTCAATGCCTACGTTTGTGTATGATTCTTTGTCATGAACATACTTTGATTAGTACTTAAAAATGTAGATTGATCCAAACCCTGTATATCTCTTATTCCTGAATAAACTGTTTTAAAAGTCTTACAGCTTTCTTTCTTTCTTGTTTTCTCTCGTTTGTCACTCAGATTGTTGAGAAGTTCTTCAGTAAGGAAATTGAATATCTGGTATCCAACAAGAGGGAGGCTCGATATGTGCATTGCATTAGGCAGGAGTCTCCTGTTCTCGGCCCGGACTCTGGCCCAAGTTCACCCCAAGTCCGAACAGACACAGTGAGTTCACTTTAATGCATCAACTGTAGAGCAGACATGTTTACGGCCTATTTCACATTTCTCCTTTGCATTTCCCTCCCAGACCATTTCACTCGCTTTTTTTTCTTCTTTCAGTTTGTTCCAAGTCGAGGGAAGACTTTGGTGCAGAAAGTTGTGAAAGAGCAGGTTTGTAAGCGCGAGACCGAGTTAAGTAAGGACGTTTAATTGATGTGTTTCTATTCTTTGCTTATACACATTTGTTTGCCTTTAGGAGAGGGTGAAAATGAACAAGATCCTGTCAAATGCTCTGGAGTGGGGTGTGAAAATACTCTACATAGATGGTATGTTGTCAATAATGTTTGATAATGTAACAAACTGACCTCTTTATTTAAATGTATAGGTGAACGTAATGGGTGCTGTAGTTTTATTTATTTGATCTCACTTTCAGATGTAATCACATATGTTAAGAAGAAAAAAAAGATTTTCGGCAGCCAGTGTCCTGCTACTAATGCAGTCAAAACAAGTGTAAGTTTACAGGTTCACGTTCTCTAATTAGTTTTTGTAAAGATTGAATTATATGTTGGGATTGTTTTCCTAAAAGCTATGGTTTAACATTGTACAATTGTTTTTTAATGCTTTTTTATTATTTACAGGTCAAAGCTCAGTCCGCCGCAAAGCAAGGCTTTAATAAATCCAAAGGTAAATGTAATCTAGTTATTATCCAGTCTTTTATTTCATTAGGTAGGAATGTTTTCCATTGTTTTTGATGCTTTGTTTATACATGCTCAAATCTAATTTGACTATGATGGATGTTTGTTCCAGGGGGCCGGATCCGTAAACCTTTCGTCAAGGTGGAGGATTCAAGCCGGTAAGAGACGCAAGACTAAAATAAGCTCCACTGTCTTTTGAGTTCTTCACATCTAATGACTATGATCCGTTTCTTTTCCCTTTTCACAGACACTACCGGCCGATCTACCTCACCATGCCGAACATCCCAGAGTTCAACCTGAAGACTCTTCCTCCCCACAGTCCCTTCTGTGCCGAGGACAAGGCTCCTCCTGGAAACAAACAGCCGGGGCGCCGGTACGGTGATTCTTCTCTTTTGCTGATTGGATTTCCGCGTATTTCAAATCATTGTTTTCACAGCATTTTAACCACTAAATCCCATTTGATTCCGCTAAGGTGCCGCAAAGTTGGTTTTACAAACAAACCTTTCTGCTCCGCTCGTAATCTATATATTTTGAGATGTTGTTTTTTTAATTGAAGTTTTGTTGATGATGTTGTTCTGTTTCTAATTCATAGGTGGAAAATAAAGCAACTCCTTACATTTTTCCACATTGTATAAAAATGTTTTTCCCCCAATTCTTTTCACAAATTACTACAATGTGTGCATAAAATTTAGAGGTACATGATTTTGGAGCCACCCATCAAGACAATATGAAACTCAAAATGTAAAAAATTCCAACTGTTTACCTTTTTTTTTTCCTCCTTCTGTGTAACATCTGGAATCAGAGGTGCAAAGGCCTCAGCCAGTGAAGAGCTGGCCAACGGCCGGAAGAAGAACAAAGACAAGAAACGAGGCGGCTACTGCGAATGCTGCATGATCAAATACGAGAATGTGACAACGGTAAGTTAATGCACGTGAATGGGAAAACTTCTGATGTACTAACTTGAACTGCAGGGCTTTGAAATCGGGTAGTGATGAATATTCATGAGCAGACCTACCTTGTATGTCTTTAGCGCTCAGCACCTGCTCACCCAAAGTATTACCTTCTAGATCACAACTGCTGATGCCAGTTAGCCGGTAATACAGTGTTAACACACTGGGAACCTTGGTAAGGTACCCAATCCAGGTTGTATGTAGTCCTGCACAGAGCTATGCCTGTTACTACATATCCATCCAGGATTTGTATCTTAGCATTACAACAGGACATGTAGTACTTGTGCATAAATGTATGTTGTACACTTTGTTTTTTTCAGCATATAAAGAGTGACCGTCACAAGGCTTTCTCCAGGAGTGATGAATACTTGGTCTTGGACAAACTGGTCTCAACTCTGCACTTTGACTTCCTCATCAAAACCAAAGTGAAAGGGTAACTTGTCCTCGTTCCTTTTTTTAAAAACTTCGTCAACCTTAAGTATTCACGGGAAACGCATGCACGCAAATAAGTAAAAGAATCTGGCTCCTTTTTATTTCTATTGCACTCTACTCACAGAATATTTCCTCTGATTCCTGTTAGACCAAAATGCAGTGTTTCTTCTGTTCTGATGGCTCCTGGACCAAGTGGGAAACCTGTGCAAAGACGTGAAGGAGATCCCGATAAAACAGAGACATTTAAAGAAGAAGAAGAAGAAGAAGGGCAGCAGCATCGGACGGTCGACGGGCACGAGGGATCTCACTCGGCACACACTTTAAACATCACATCGGGGACAGGTTCCACTCCTCTGACTTCCACTGAGGGGAGAACCTATTACACTCACTCGCAGAGATCCAAGCGCAAGTCTGTGGCACGTAAACGTCCGTGCAGGCAGAATTCTTTGACTTCTTGCTCTCAAAAAGCTGCTCAGGTTCCTGAGCCCAGGATGGAAACCGCCCCTAGAGGGGAATGTCTTGCCTCCATTCCCCCCGGAGGTGCTCAGGTCAACACGGCGAAACCAACAACAACTGGAGATGAGGAGGGCTCAACCTCCTGCTTGGATGCAATGAACAGTCGGAACGAAGCTTCCCTAAAAGGCCTTAATGTCATAGCAAGTCAAGAGGATAAAAAAAAGGAATCTTCCGCGTGTGAGCCTGTTCAGGGCTGTAAGGTATCGTTTGACAAAAACAGGGAAGAAGAAAGTCTTCCTTCACTCACCTTCTCCCCGGTCCGTAAAATACAGAGGAGGGTGAGAGTCTGTAGGCGGAAGACACGGAAGGTGGACACATGTGGCGAATACGTGAAGCCGACTGACCTTCCCGACAGCTGCATGCTGAAACTCTGGGAGCTTTTTCAGTCATCTGATGACATGGATGGGGAATTTATGGGGTTTGAGCACTAGTAGGTGAGGAGTGAACTGGATTGTTACTGCCATGTACAATACTTGAGACCAGATTCTGTGGCCCGGACTCCAAGCCTCTAGATTTCCCTCTTGGGTTTGAAGACGGTGAGCTGTATTCTGTTCCATCAGATGAAGGGCGAATGTGCGTGAGCTATTTATCTTACATCCCACTTGAAAGAGGCCAAACCAGCATGCTGTTTCTCTTTACTCTGGTATTTTGCCCAATTTCAAAAGTATTTGAAACTATAGGTGAAAAAGAAAAATGTATTGACGCCGTCATTGAGTTACAACCTTTGGTAAGAGTTGAAATTACATTTGATCTAATTTAAAAATCCTTGTGATTGTATAAGGGAAAAACCTAATTAATCAATTGAATCCAGTTGAAAGTTTTCTATTTTGTGAAGAGTTTTTCATCCATAAAATTTTTTTCATAAAAAGATTAATGTTGGACAAGATTATCCACAATTTTCCCACAGTTGGTCAAAGCTGCTTCAATCCTAAACTTATTCCAAAATTGTCTTTAATTAGACATATGTACATTATTCCTATGTATCTTAGGCGCACTGTGCATTTGTTTCAATTACTAAGGGTTTGCTGTTATGAACTGGAACGAAAGGCCTCCTGCAAGTCCCATCACAGGGTTTAACGACAACATCTTTCACAAATTCCACTGGGAATCCATTTTTAAAGAAGTGTTTTAGTCCCCTCGCAGTTGTTTCCAATGAATACCTTTGAGGGAAAAGGTCATTTTAAAAATATATATAATATATTTCATTGCAATCTGAATTTTACAGACCTCAATAAGTGATTATTTCCAAATGTAACATGTGTTACTTGATATTATATGACATTTAAGGATTTTAGGGACTTTCTCAGCCCTCTCTGACGCCTCGCTGCGTGTTGCGGATTAGCACACCGCCCTTGTTCTCCCACGCTGCTCTCCAATGGATCCACGCGGTCAAATGAGGAACAATGTTTTCAGAGGTCAATGCACAGAAAATAAACTGAAGTGAGTGCACATCATTATTTTTTGTTCTTGCTCCTTGCAGATTATAATCTTTTGCCCCAAAACTGTTTTTTTCTGTGCACTTTAGTGTACGCAGACGTTGTATTGAACTGATGTTAGTGTGGAGTAAATTCAGTTTATATTCTGTGATTCTTTTACAAAGGACTGGGGATTTTTTCTACAACTTTTTAACAAAAAATGACTTTTGGCAAACCATACAAAGTAACATTTTTTTTATCAAGGAAACTTTCTACAACCTAAAAAAGTGAACAACGTGCATATCCTACATCCAAACTTTTCTAAGTTGCGTTATAGAAATGAAAACAATGAAAACATTGTGATATAATGTGAGTCGTTGTTTATATCTATCTATTATAACCATTAAATAGCAATACAAGTGGACGACTTATTGACATTGTGCCACATTCTGATCCTGAAATGAGCATATAAACTCCTTTCTGGAGAAAAAACATGATCATCACCTCTTTAAGTCATGTTGAATCACCCGGTTTGCAGGAGAAGTATTTAAGTGTGTCTCAATTCAAGGGGTTGTAGAAGATAAACTTGTGCAACATCTGGGTGAGAATAATTACAGAGAAACAACTCAGTATTTTCCAAACATGCTCCTGATTATTTTAATGCCACAAATGGAAAATACGACAAGAATTAAGAATTAATTAAGTGTGCCGAGAAATCAAAAACATCCACAAAAACAGAATCCATCGATCCCCGGTTTTTATATCAAACGATGGGTTGACTCATGACAATGACACGCCTCACGCCTCCTGAAGGAATTTAACATGGATGGAGTCGGCGGGCGGTGCTTTAAACCCAGTCGGCGCACGGCCCCGCAGCTCTACAACCCCCCCCCCCCCCCCCCCCCCCCCTCTCGTCTCCAGGGCACGTTATATTGCATATATATGCATATTTGTGCATTAGGCGTTTCTGCAGTGAGCCGCTGGATATTGATGTGTTTTAAGGAGGTGTCCCCCGTCCTCCCCCCCCCGCGAGCCTGTCTCTCTCCTCCACGCCTCCTCCGCGCTGCTGATCCGCGGCGTGTCGGTGCGCTCAGACGCGCTCGGCGTTCGGACTCGTAAGGACCCCGATGGCCCCGAACCGGAGGCTCTGCGCTAACCAGACGAGCAGCCCGGGCTTCAGGCTCCCGTAGCGAAGGCAGGACCCCGAGGGCCTGCTCCCGGAATACCGCATTGCTTTTTTTATCATTTACAACAACAACAACAAAAAACAGAACAGGAATGATGCTGATGATGCGCCCGCGGTGGTGGATTTCCATTTTGTGCGTCTGTGGATTGATGCACGTCGGTCATCAGAGCAGCTCCAATGCCACAAATGGTAACTGATGCTATTTAAGATCTCACATTCATTATGGTGGCGTTACGTCCCCGTTAACGGGCCCGTGTTTGTTTGTTTTTTTGCGTATTGGAGATTCGTCTCTTGGCTGTTCCGTGTTATCGAAGGAAACACGGGAGCGTCGGTGGTTGTGATGGATGCCGCTCCGTGTCCGTTTCCCCGCACGGAGGATGCACGGAGCGGGTGATGAAATCGGTGTCCCCCCCCCCCATCTTCCCCACACTCTGTGCAGGAGACGCCTCGTCGAGCATGAAGGCTCTTCGCGACGCGGGCAGGTTCGCCGGGAAGGAGGACACGGTGCCGCTGCGCCTGCTCTACAGTCCGCACAGCCGCAACCAGATGCCGGAGGACGAGCTCAGCACCCGGGTGAAAGCCGGCTCCGGCTCCACGCAGGTACACGCGCGGCGCCTCCCGTTGTCAGCGATCTGCTCTCTGCGTGCTTATCTGTTGCGCGGATTCCTCTCCTCCTCCTCCTCCTCTTCCTCTGCCATTGTCCTCAGAGGGGAAATTCATAATCGGTGACTCACGAGCAAAACACACGAAGCTCGGGACATTATAGGAAGGGAAACGTGCACTTATTATGCTGTAGACCGTATTAGACTGCCTGCAGATGCTGCAGGTCCTCGTGGCCTTAAAACAAT